CTGTATGTCCAGAATCACATCTTTTACAGACGGAACCAGATCACGGATTTTATGTAATGTATTGAATCGGACCTGGATCTTGTGTTTATTCAAGATTTTGGAGATATGTTTTGTGATCCCCACAATGTAGGGTAAAGTGATGGTTTTGTAAGGCTCCTCAAGAGGGTCCTTCTTCTACTTGACTTTACCGAAAGAACCAAGAAATATGAAAACAAATTGTTACATGAATAGAAAATGAATGTAATCACCAACAGCTGAATTTCAGCAGGAAATAGCCCACAAAGACATCAAGTATTTATAATGTATTTATAATGGAGGCCTGGATGACATTTGTATATATAGAGTTTGTTTCGATGGCTTACTCAGGAAAGCGTCACTCAAGCCTGTTGATCAGCATGGTCCTGCCAAGTTTTTGCAGCAAGGGGCGATGTTTATGTGTGCAATCCCAATTAATTAATTTGCAAGTCGTGTTTCAGGATTGTGTATGTTTGTTAGGTTGCATGTTTGATTAGCTCATGTAATAGTAGCACAATATAATGCAGACCAGACACACACATCTTCGACAGATAGAGAGAGATTCTATTACGAGACGAATTAAATTATAAGGCCATCACATATTTACAAACATATCAAATGTATATCACATTGCATATCAAGTACAGCACTTGTAAAAGAGAATAATGGGGCTTTTGTTCACTCGGAATTGATGTTTTTGTGCATGGAGATAAAATGGAGTTTAAAGCCCTTCCTTCCCTATTGTATCACAAAAAGTAAGCTGCAATGGGAATTTTTCTGTATAATGCATAAAATACAAAGCAATTTCATGGCATTACACAGATAAGACAGGGTTAAAAACAATGAGTGGGACAAAAAAGTGCATATCTTAAAATATAATATATTTGGTTATTTGATGTGAAAAAAATCTAATATAAGCAATGCTATCTTTAATAAACACGAGCATTGTGGTCAGTAGATATGCCTTTCGCTTTGATAAACAAAAAAAGCAGGCCTGATGAGACTCAGAAAGTTGACACCAGTCGAGAGTTGGTCTCAATGTGTCAGTCATTCCTATATTTGAAAACTATTCTAGGGGAGCCCACTGCAACTCCACAGAAAGCGAGACCTTAGACAACAACAGTACAGCAAAACATTTTAAACAAATCAAGCTAAAGAATGCAAAAATATAATACAATTTAAATGTAACATGCTTAGAATGATGAAATAAAGAGGTGGATTAGAGCAGGTTGAAAAACGACCTGATAGTGAAAAGCAAAATACCAATGTGCCCAAAGAATTAAGCTTCATAATCAGCAGAGATATCAACCAAAAACATGGACATTGACAAAGACGTTGGAACAAAAGCTGACAAGTATGCAAAGAAACAAGATCTTCAGGCGTGGAATGACAATGAGAGCCAGAAATAATAACATGGATCAGAGACCCAAACGCATCATATTGACTTAAGAAGGGTAAGTGGGTTTAGGTAGGACACTTCGTTAGAAGAGATGAAGGCCATTTGTCGAAACTAACAATGGAGTGGCAGCCAAAGACGTAAACACACCCGAGAAGAAATCTGCCGTGAAGATGGAGCGATGAGATAAACTCACGTGCAGGAGCGAGAAGGATTGTTGTATCGGGTGACCCGCAAGGGATACAATGACGCAATAGGTAGGCTTTCACCCAGCAGTAGATAGTTACTGATAATGAAAGGTTAGGTGGGAGTAGCAGCGGTGCAACGGTTCGTACACTGTGCTCGGAAACCAGCGAACTAAGTTAAATTCCTGGCTGCAGTTAACATCAGTGGTGAGTGATATCTGAACCAGACTTGGCCCCCTTCACACAACCGGCTTTAACCAGCATGGTGAAATATGGTCAAACAAACCCACACGACCAAATATGGCATGGGGAGGCCATCATCCAGCAGTTGATTGAGAAAGGTCTGACATTTTGTATTAATATTATGACCATAATTCAAGGGTTAAACCAATCTCAGATTGATTGTCCATAGTACAGTTGTTTTTGGGTTAGATCGCGTAAATATAAATGTGCCGTAACGAATTGGCATGTTCTGTTTACGTGACAAACCTTACAAATTGTTTTTGTCGGGTGGTGGCGGGTTTAACGATACATTTATATATACCTGATCTAACTAAAAAGATATGTGTATTATGGATATTGGTCGCGAAAGCCTACATGTTAAACGAATTGATTATGTTTAGTTAAAGCTGTAATTTTAGCAAAATCACGTTGGATATTATTTAAATCTATAAGTGATTGTATCCAAACTTCGTAACGAGAAGGTTCAAGATTATAAAGTATATTATTGCCAGTTTAGAATAAGAAAGTGGATGTGAAGTGAATTACATTTGAGACAGCATTGTTTATATGTCATGAACACGATGAAGAACCGTCAATTTATCCAGATTTTTCTATCAAGTTTTCTTCCATGCAGATGATTAATTTCAGAACCAGACCACTACCGTGCTGGTAATTCAACAAGCTAATAGACTCTAAATTTAAGTTACAATGACACACTATATGAAACTAGCTTGTTTGCCCATCCTAGGACGGAAGCTGTAATATTTACAAAAAAATCGAGCAGAGTATAATTGTATCTTGTGTAAATTTCATGGTGGTGAATCTTTCACGAAAGTATGTTATCAAACACTTCACTGCATTTCACTGTAGCGCTGTATTGATGGCAGTGATTCTTGCCCAAAACGATGTCATAAAACACCTCGCTTCATGTCATTGTAGCACTGTATATAACTGACCTTCAATTTGTTAAAATTCACTACTCTGATACTTTATTCTCTTTTGCTTTTGGTCGCTGGGGTTGAAATAAATTGGAATTCGATACAATGTCTGGAAAATCACCGAGAAATGTCCATTTTACCATAATGTAGAAGCATAAATTAGACTTACCTTGTGTCTCAAGTGCTGAAGAAATACTTAAAAACACCAAATACACTCTGTTGCTGCGTATAATTATTTATTAGATTCACTTTCAATAAAGAAACGTCAAACTTAAAGCGAATTTGCGAAAAAAAATGTTTTTTTCCGCTCGACCTTCTGCGTGAGTGTAAAAATCCAGCCGCTCATGAATATTCATGAGGGGGTGCGGCATGTGGAGTGACATCACGCGCGTTATACACAAACAGACATTCTTGGCTCATTATAGTAGTAATGCTTTGGGTAGATCATGTGTTTTGTGTTATATGGTTAACCATAAATTGAATTTAATATTGTAGAGGTAGCAGTTATAGTATTATCCACAGATATCAATCCTGATTGATTTGAGTTTAGCATACAGACAACATTCAAACATTGGTCTCCTTAGTTGTATATTTTTTTATTTGTTTACATCACCACTTTGTCCAGAAAGCTCAACAGCTGACGTTACTTTATTTCATTTCAATGTGGAATAACAGATTTTCATCCATTCACTATTTTTAAAGAATGATCTACTTAGAAACGGTGAGGATACCTCCGAAATTGGTCATGGTACCAAAATAATTGTGGAAGCTGGTACTATCAGATATTTTTCATATTAACAAAACTTGGCCATGTAATATCCCATAGCACATTATTATGGTACGAAGGTTTTATTTTTAGTGAAATGAAACTCTGGGATGAAAAGCAAGCTTGCTTACCAGTGGGTAAGAAATATATTTATTACATAATATTCAATCACGTGTAACACTGCGATAATTGTATGAACTATGTATGCTTCCATATGGTGTATTAGGTTACTCTTACAATGCCCTTGCGAAAAATGTGCTCTGTCTCTTTCTCTGTAAAAAAAAATATAATTTTACAAATTGCTGCAATTTTTTCCGACTTCTGTCAGAAAAAAAATTCGCAGGAACATATTTAAACCTTAAAAATGGCAAGCATTTATTGGCAGACACTGCTTGCTTGGCACAAGGGTTCCATTGTAATTGAAAAATAAATCTTAAAAAAGCCTCTTGCTCACTTTAATAAATTGATCGTACAACCTCAATTAGTATTCCCATTCTCTAGGATTCAGCTATAAATAAAACAAATCTATATTTGTCTTCATAAATACATCTTTGTAATATGGCACATGGAATAATCGGACATGGTGGAATGTGTGAGAAGAATGGGAACAGTGAGTGATTTGGTATTTATCACCTTTAGAATTTAACTTCCAGTTCATCACGCAGGTTTTTTTTACGAACGCCTTGCAATCCGAGTGTGTTCTTCACACGAGTCCTGGGGGCTGACAGGATAACCAGGATGCAGACGATAACATATAAGGGTAGAGCAGGTGGGATTCCTCACTTCAACTCACAAAGAGTGAATAAATGCTCAACACGCAGCCGAACCCGAAATATCAAACTTGTATTAACTTCCAGATATTAATTTGATTTGTTTTCAGTGTTTAAATTGCATCAGCTCGTGCGGATATGAATATCAATTCAAGTATATAAAATATATATTTGCCAACTTTTAAGCTTTTGGGGTTCTCAAATAATTTAACTGGTCCTCGTCATTATGCTGTAAATGTGCACATTCCAATGCCCCTTTCGAGACAAGTGAAAACATGAGACCAAGATAATCTGCCCTTGAGGTTGCTTATTTTAGCAGCACTGGAATTACCCGTGCACCACTTAACAGTTGGAACAGCAAGACACGTGTTTCAAGTGAAGAAAAAAACAAGAATTTCTACTTCTTTCGTTTTTTTAGAACCAGGCATACTCAATAACGTTGCTTCTTTACATGCAGGCGGTACATGTATTGTGCACACTGCAGTGCACTTCAACTGGCTGACAGTCACAGGTGACTGAATTACTGTATTAACAATATTGATCAGAGAGTTCTGAGCGTAGACATAGGCAAGCGGTGGTTATTAACATCCACAGTTCTTTAAAAAAAATACTAGATCTGAGCTGAATGCCACACATACAAATTTGCGTTTTCTGCACACCTTCATAGCAATGGTGGAGAATAATGATGGAGTGGCAGTCAAAGGAGGGATCTTGCCCGAGAGAATGTCTGCCTTAGCAGTGGAGCGATGAAATCATCTCAGGTGCAGGCACTATTACATCGCAGAATCGTTAGGAATGACAACAGCTTGGTAAGGCATTCATCCATCAGTGGATTAATCCTGGCTGCTAATGATGATGTCATGTCAAGTTGTACGATTGATTCACTGGATGTAACGTGTACAGGACACGAGAATGGGATTTAATGCCAGTGTAAGAATCAAACAACTAACAAGGTATTAAATACTATAAGGTATGTGTGTAATAATAATAATAAAGCACGTTAACGATAGGGACAGGCGTGGAAAAGAATGTGTGTGCACCTTGAGGCATCCATAGACGGGCGAATAGACAAGCTGATGTTTGCTGGCTGTGCACTGGAGTTATGTACCAAGACACTCAATGCATTTTTTACAGTAATCTAAACTTAAAGAAGAGCGAAAACAAATTATGTTATGCTGCTGCTGCACTCTTTCAGCTTGTCATATTAAAAATCGTGTTTTGATAGGTAACTTAGTGTGCATGGCTAAGTGCTATGATGCAATGCTAGAATGGCAGGTTGTGTTTACAAGTGCTGGTGTTGTTTTCATTTTGGCTCCGCTGAGATTGCTGAAGCGTGATTAATGTCTGTGGTTTTAAATAGCGCACTTTGTCTTTGACTTATTGATCTGAGGAACAGACTAGAATTCAATAATTTATTTTTGTTGACAACAGTCTCTCCTGAAAATGGAATGCGCGATAAATCTCACAGCTCTATCTCGCTACTCTTCTTGTACAGCTACTATTCTTGTACAGCTACTAATCTTGTACAGCGTTATCACTCGCGTCTTATCAAAGCACCAGAACATTGTGAGTAGAGGGGAACGCGTAAATTGGCTCAAAAGCAAAGGGCATAAATAATGAGCAACGCATAGTGGTAACACAGATACAGTGAGCATGAACACAAACTCACCACTGTAGGTCCAATGAAGACGCACACCTGAGGCTAAAAAGGCAAAAACGAAGGGAGGTTCCCACACCCAGCACGCATATCACCGGGCTCTTTCCACTATTTGCCACTGAGTTTTTGCCTCCCTTGCCGGTCATCTTAAATCTGCTCTGATTAGGTGAACAAATTCTTATGAAAGTCTCGAAGCCTTTGCCCTACCCGTAATCTTAAAGTTCCACTTATCAGTGGTCAGCTCCTTGAGAACGTGTTTGAGATAGCATAATTACGAGTTGTCTAAGGGTATCCAAGAGCAAATAGTGACTACGGCTATTGCTGCTGATACTGCAGAGACTACATACATTTCGCGAATCTGTTTTTCCTTTTTTCTCCTTTCTCCAGAGTGTGAAGACCATCAACGACGCAATGTATGTGTGTTGAACTTCTTTCGCACCGTACGTAGCCAACCGTGCTAATCGGAGCTTGCGGGGGGAAGGACAACAGAAATGCCAACCCTTTTGGTAATGATGATCCTGTTGGTTTTACAGGGTAAGGACAATCTTTTTTTAGACGCTCGTTTTAATACAAATATGTGCATGTATTATTTGATAATGGCTACTTTAAATACTTTAGCCAACATGTCATTCTTCTGTCCTTGTGCTGTTCAATGATTAAGTTTACTATGCTGTCATTTATAGTTTATGAAATATGTTAGATATATTGACTGTTTGCTCATCACTAGTACCAGGAATTAAAGTACGTTATGACACGTGCTGTTAGAGCATAGAAACGCCAACTGAAATATGTTTGAATCCCTATAAAATACCAAATACCTAGGTAAACAATGTATGCGTTGGTATTCGAAATGAAAAAAAAAACATATTACGCTGTTCACTTTGAACTAGCATTGTCACGGTATGATATATTATGTTCGCAATGCTTTCCTGGAAATGTTCCTCTATATTTGTGTTGGTATGTAGGTGGATTAATATTAGCCTGAAAAGTATACCTGCAATACTCATAACTTACTACGGGTCTCTCTTTATCTTTTCTCAGTCTCTCCAGCCATCTCCATGCAGGTGCTGGTTGCGGATCGAGAGACCATAATACAAATCGACATGTCTGGAAAGTGTAGGTCAACAGCTCTTAATGAAGACATATTACACGTAGCCTAATGCACAGCTCTTTCTTCCTATCTCGGGCAAAAAGTAATTAAAGCAGATTATTACGGACGTTAATTAAATAAACTATATATCTGTGCGGACGATTTTATTTTTAATTACACTAGTGTGCCGCTGGCATGGCCATTAGCTTTTAAAGAAGTGAAAGAAAGATAATGTTGTGAAGCTAACACACTATTCCGTCGAAATTGCTCAACAAGATGATGCTCAAGAGGATACAGTGAAGGCATTGCTTCTAAATGTTGTCATTGCCTTCGTCTCCCAGTGGTGCAATGCTCTGCCGCTGTGGACATCCTGTTGCTAATGGACGGTTCATACAGCATTGGAAAAGCCAGCTTTGAACGCTCGAAGCACTTCGCCTCCAACCTCTGCAATATGCTTGACATCAATCCGGATCGGGTGAGATCATGTGTACTCTGCATGATGGGCGCTTTCCCATAGGGCAAACCGGGTGGATGATTTAATGAACTGAGCAAACACCTCTCCAGGTGCAATCTTGCGGCGCCTGGGTATCCCGCATTGAAATGAATGCTGGGCACGGGGATGATTGTTTAGAGGTCATGTCAATCACTGCCTGCGGTGCCCGACGAGCCAACGTCCAAATGGTCAGTCAGCAGTCTCAAAGCCATGACATAATTACTCTTCATTACTTCACGATTATCTCTTGAAGTTTGATGGACAAATAAACTGCCGTTTGTGATTTTTTTTTCTGTTTTCAAGTCGGGGGAAAATATGGTTTATGGTGACAGTTGGATTTTGGGAAAATTGTGCATCGCGCAGCGTTTTTTTGTCTTTAAGGTGACAATTTAATGTGTCACTCACTACAGGTGCAACTTGGCATCGTTCAGTACAGCTCCAAACCTAGGCTGGAGTTTGCTCTGGATGTGTATCCTACGAGAGAGGAAGCAAAGGAGGCTATTGCAAGAATAGCATTCCGGTGAGTTTCGTGTTGTTCATACTTCGGAATTCTATAATTATCTCGTTTAGTAATTTGTTTACATGCCACGATATTCTGTTTATGTATGTTATTAACACAAATTACGGTTTAGTATGAATAATCAGATTTAAATCGTGGAACAAGTACACGCGTAGTGAGCAGTGGAATCGTGGTTAGCACACTGTGCCATGAACACAGCAACCTGTGAGTTTGGTTCCCTGGCACGATTAATGTCAGTGATGATTATCTGAACCGGGCCTGGGCCTCCCTAAGGTCGACTCAGCCATAAAATGAGTATTTGGTGTGGTTTGTATACATGCGCACTGAGAAGACAAAGGCAGCTGGGCATAGTTATGGCCATACCATTCCACGTATGTGCTACAACGGCCTTAATATGCGCTCGTTAGCAGCACTGAACCCGACAGCCTGTGTAAGATACAAAGGGGATCTTTGTGAGTGTGCGTTAGTGTGCATGCATGAGAAAGTGTAAGTTTGCGTGTATGATAATGTGAGTGACATTTGAATCAGTCCTGGGAACCACCTTCACCAATCAGTACTGACCAATATATATTAATGTGTGTATGTCTTTATACTTCTATCGCACCGTACATAGCCGACCGTGCTAATTGGAGGTGCGGGGACAGGACAACAAAAGCATGTTGTAATGTGATCAAACAACCCGCATGTCCGACACGTTGGGACTTCAGCGAGCAGTGGATTCACAAAGAGCTACGAAATGATGATGATGGTTATTATTATTATGTTGTATGCCTTATACGTATATATCACGTGGCTTGTTCACCGCCAGTGGGGGTGGTACAGAGACAGGGCGAAGCATCAAGTACGTGCTGCGCAAGGGCTTCCTGGGCGGTCGAGAGGGCATTCCCAAGATCCTGGTCCTGCTCACGGACGGCAAGTCTCAGGACAACGCAACGTTGGCAGCAAAACACGCGCGCAACAGCGGCCTGACTGTGTTCGCCGTCGGGATCCGTCACCCTGCGTGCGTCCTGCCAGAACACCTCGCTGCCCTTCTATCTACGGGCATTCATCATTTGTAGCTGCATATTTAATGTAGTAGTAGTAGTATTACTCTTTGGTTCTTTCGGTGAAGTCACGTAGAAAGAAAATAAATTAAATAATAGAATACGACGTGTCGATTGCAACACAAGCAATCGTCATCAGGTAGTAAACAAACCTAGTGAGCTTAGAAATGCAATGCAATACAACACAGAGAGTCGGCGAACACAACAGTCAGCACCTTACCTGGTGGTTACATTCTTCCAAAGATTGCTAAATTGGAGAGAGAGAGAGAGACAAAACACAGACAAGGAGACACACAGACAGACACACACGCAGAGAGAGAGAACACAGAGACACACAGAGACAGACATACAACAAAGACACACAGAGACCCAACGCCTCTGTGCCGAGGTCTTAAATAGAGAGGGGGGGGGGGGCAGAGAGAGAGAGGTGGGACTGCTGGAGCATAGAAATTAGCTTGTCCATGAGAGAGCTATATTTTAATAGTTGTATATCAACCCGGCTAAGCAGAGCAGAGCTGAGTCTGGATAGTACTGGGATGGGTGACCTCCGTGCACAACACAGGCTATTTTAGGGGCTCCAGGGCTATATGGTGGGTAGTAGATGGCAATGCGATAATATATTGTTGTACCTTACCGCTATGCTCCTGAGCCTATACTCCCCGCCTATATCAACCTGCCACTGACTATTGTGGTGAAGTATGCTCAAATATATACCATGACTTGCAAGGCGTGGTGAGGCCATCATACAGCAATGGATTGATTAATGGGCTGTACGAGTTCATGTTTAATATTGTATAAAAGCTCATTCTGCACTTTAGTGAAAATTATTGGGTAAGGCATAATGCGTCACAACCAGCAGTATTTGTTCCAAAATTCTAACGCTGCCGATGAGACCCAGAAAAATCCAAATCGGCCCAGAGTCTGTGTCCATTAGACAAACGCTGAAGATTATAACATAACCATTAGCATTTGCCCAATAGGCTGATAGACCAATACATATATGGAGAAACCTCACTCGGGTTCATTTATTTTATTTATCATCCCAGTTTGATGGTTTTCATTGCATTGCCGTCGAACGTGACAGTTTGATTGAGAATGTGTTAAAACGTATGGTGGGGTAGTGGCATTAAAAATGAGCGATATTTGAGATACGTGAAAAACTCTTGAAGTGCTTGGCATGGTGATGAAGCTTTTTTTTTTACTCTGCACACGGCCGTTGTCCAATGCTGTAGGTGGGAAGAATTAAACAGAATGGCGAGTGACCCCGATGACATGCACGTGTTCTACGCGGAGCATTACAACGACGCACTCAATGGCCTTTACACGACGCTCACACAGGCCACCGTGTGCTCGGATGTGCACCCGTGTAAGTACCCTTCGTACGCTTTTATTGACTCCAATGGAAATGCGATGAGATGGGTTTCAGTGGCGCATCCAGTAAAGGTTGTCGGAGGGGAGGGGGGGAATTACGTCTCCTGTTAAGTTTTTACGTAGGCTTTCACGACCACTATTACGATTCACTAGCCTTTCGCTCGTCCAAGGACGGGTGTATTTCAGTAAATCTGAAACTTGCAAGTGAAAAGCAGACCGCGATTTGATATTCATTGCATCAATTCGTGTGCAATTTGTCAGGTCGCAGTGACACAGACTTATTTCATTTAAAGGTTATAATCCCTTGTTCATCATTACGTCCTTTTTACTTCTATGTCTCAACAACAGCGTCACGGAGATCGCGTGACGCGAGGGTTCTGCCTTTGTAGTGAGGGTTGTAAGTTGACGCTGTGGAGGGGGGAGGAGGCGCCTCGCCCCCCCCCCCATGTGGAGTGACGTCACCCGCTAATTAATATTAATTATAGGGCAGTGTCCATTTGGAAAACGTCACCTCTTCATGATTATCAATGTAGGGGGCTGTTCCATGTGGAGTGACGTCACCTGCTCATGATTATTAATGGAGGGGGGGTGGTACATGTGGAGTGACGTCACTCGCTCATGATTATTAATGAGGGGGGGTCCACGTGGAGAACGTCACCTGTTCATGATTATTAATGAGGGGGGCTGACCGACGTGGAGTGACGTCACGTACGGGTCACACAGACATTCTTGGCTCATTATAGTAGTAAATAATTCGGTTATTTTTGGGTTAGATTGTCGCGTTCGGCATGTCAATTCTGAACTCTTAACCGTCCACCACTTGACAGAGCCGATCTAATTGAGTTTTTGCGTCATGGGCAAATATGCAAATATATTATTTTGTTTATCAGGAAAAGCGGAATGTTAAAAAGTAAGCACATTTTTGTTACAGTGTTTTACCTAGCATTGCGGTTTTGCAGATACAGTGAGGGAAAAAAGTATTTGATCCCCTGCTGATTTTGTACGTTTGCCCACTGACAAAGAAATGATCAGTCTATAATTTTAATGGTAGGTTTATTTGAACAGTGAGAGACAGAATAACAACAAAAAAATCCAGAAAAATGCATGTCAAAATTTTTATAAATTGATTTGAATTTTAATGAGGGAAATAAGTATTTGACCCCCTCTCAATCAGAAAGATTTCTGGCTCCCAGGTGTCTTTTATACAGGTAACGAGCTGAGATTAGAAGCACACTCTTAAAGGGAGTGCTCCTAATCTCAGCTTGTTACCTGTATAAAAGGCACCTGTCCACAGAAGCAATCAATCAATCAGATTCCAAACTATCCACCATAGCCAAGATCAACGAGCTCTCCAAGGATGTCAGGGACAAGATTGTAGACCTAAACAAGGCTGGAATGGGCTACAAGACCATTGCCAAGCAACTTGGTGAGAAGGTGACAACAGTTGGTGCGATTATTCGCAAATGGAAGAAACATAAAATAACTGTCAATCTCCCTCGGCCTGGGGCTCCATGCAAGATCTCACCTCGTGGAGTTGCAATGATCATGAGAACGGTGAGGAATCAGCCCATAGCTACATGGGAGGATCTTGTCAATGATCTCAAGGCAGCTGGGGCCATAGTCACCAAGAAAACAATTGGTAACACACTACGCCATGAACGACTGAAATCCTGCAGCGGTCCCCCTGCTCAAGAAAGCACATTTACATGCCCGTCCTAAGTTTGCCAATGAACATCTGAATGATTCAGAGGACAACTGGGTGAAAGTGTTGTGGTCAGATGAGACCAAAATGGAGCTCTTTGGCATCAACTCAACTTGCCGTGTTTGGAGGAGGAGGAATGCTGCCTATGACCCCAAGAACACCATCCCCACCGTCAAACATGGAGGAGGAAACATTATGCTTTGGGGGTGTTTTTCTGCTAAGGGGACAGGACAACTTCACCGCATCAAAGGGACGATGGACGGGACCATGTACCGTAAAATCTTGGGTGAGAACCTCCTTCCCTCAGCCAGGGCATTGAAAATGGGTCGTGGATGGGTATTCCAGCATGACGATGACCCAAAACACACGGCCAAGGCAACAAAGGAGTGGCTCAAGAAGAAGCACATTAAGGTGCTGGAGTGGCCTAGCCAGTCTCCAGACCTTAATCCCATAGAAAATCTGTGGAGGGGGCTGAAGGTTCGAGTTGCCAAACGTCAGCCTCGAAACCTTAATGACTTGGAGAAGATCTGCAAAGAGGAGCGGGACAAAATCCCTCCTGAGATGTGTGCAAACCTGGTGGCCAACTACAAGAAACGTCTGACCTCTGTGATTGCCAACAAGGGTTTTGCCACCAAGTACTAAGCCATGTTTTGCCAAGGGGTCAAATACTTATTTCCCTCATTAAAATGCAAATCAATTTATAACATTTTTGACATGCGTTTTTCCGGATTTTGTTGTTGTTATTCTGTCTCTCACTGTTCAAATAAACCTACCATTAAAATTATAGACTGATCATTTCTTTGTCAGTGGGCAAACGTACAAAATCAGCAGGGGATCAAATACTTTTTTCTCTCACTGTAAACCCCTTCTGCCCCTCCCTGGGTGAATCTCTGAAATATCTTTATAGTGCTTGTCTTGCTCTGTGTTGTGAGTACAGACAGTGTTATTTTAACGGGATATTTTAAGTTTTTGCGCAATGAGCTTTACCAACTTTCAAAGGTCTCCTGCTTCGGGGGAGTAATAGACAGTTAGTAGATAAACGCAAGATTAAAAATAGAATCAGGACATTTGTGCGTTGAGATCCTCCAGTCTGTTTTGGGCCATTGCTTTAAGTGTTCACATTATTGGATTTTTATTTTTTTTACAAAGCAGAGAATGATCGGCTTTTTTCACAAATGGAAAGTACGTGAGTAATGTTGTTATACCGCTTTGGATTACTTTTTATATTGTGCGTTTTGCTTAGTGGCAGATGATGAGGACTGTTTGTATTCGAAAATGTAATGATATAGGTACTTTAAATCTATAATTATAATCACTTGGGACATTATCTTTTATTTCTGCGGCTTAATAATGGTATGGCATTAACACCTTTTTCTCATTACTGTATATAGCAAGTACATTGCTAATTTAGTTTCACACCTTCTAATTCTGAATATGCACACCTTCCCTACGCTTATTACCTGTGAACAGCCACATCACATTTTAATAATGCGGCGATTTGTGCACGTAGTTTTAAGCGTGACTGAGGTGGCCCAGTGGCTCAGAGGTTAGTGCACTGTGCTAGCACTGTTGAATTCTTGAGTTCGATTCCAGGTGCCATCTATAATTCGACTGGTTTCATAAGTGTAGTGAGTGAGTTGATGGTCTCAGCCCAGTCACCAATGCACAAATGGCACGTCACATTCAATTTGATTACACTCCAGAGAAATTAAAATATCGTTTCCATCACCGTGCAATGAGCGATGTGCTGCTCCCTGCTGTGTAGACCAGAGCTCGATTGGGTGAGTCGTTTTCTAGCATGAAGGGTTGCACTGCTCTGCCAGACCTGAAAGGATTTTTCATCTCATTGCATGCGATGACACATAGCACAATCAGGTTCAAATTGGGAAAGAGGACAAAAAATGTTAACATATATTTGTTATAAAAACTGGACGTAGAGAATTGGAGAACACTAACAGCTATATTTGGTTTCCTGTACGACATAATTGAATCGCAGATCTGAAAAATCGAATACTTTTATCCATCATTCATCCATTATAGGTAACGCTTTAAATTACGACTGCAACATTTTTGTGGGGGAGGCTAGGAAGTTATAGGCGGAGGCGGTTGATGTATTACTATATTCCACATTTAATCATTAAAAAAAAATATGTTATATAATGAAATGTTTCAAATGAATCGCCTGGATGTGCGCGAGCCCCTGCCGGGTGCTTGTGCCACGCTGTCAGCCTGCAAGGTGGAGTCACGCATTTGCCTGCGCACGAGCGTGGAGTCCGTGCAGGAATATCGCGGCAGTCACGCCTGCTGGAAGGGCAAAAGAGGACAGCTCTACGGGAAACCGTATGCGACCTTCTGTCCATACTACGCGTAAGCACGTATACGTACATGCCATATACTGAGGAAACGTGTATTTTTGCACTGTTATGAGACTATATTCTTCAAGGAGTCTAGCCAGCGTAGAAGAGTAGGCCAAATACCGCTCTAGAGATGTTCTCTAGAGCTTTTTTGTAGCGGAGACCCGCCCGCAGTGGCGTGAACAAGGAATTTCAGGGCTGCACCTTTACCATTTACCTATCATACTTGTACTTATCAAATAACTTGGAAAGTGCCCAATCCTGTCACATCCTGGAAGCAATGCAGGGGTGATCATGGATAATGTATGAAATAGGGGAAAGTCATGCATAAAAAAGTGTTATAGGCTGCTATGGGGCTACATTGTGGGAAGCAGAGGTCAGTGCAGCAAAATCTACTGCTGTACTGTACCATGCTTTAATGTCTACTGTATACTCCCCACCTTCAACTCACACTGACCAGCATCGTGAAGTATGCTTAAATAACCCCCATTACTTTCACGACATAGAATAGCCCTCATCCAGCAGTGGATTGACAACAAGGGCTGTGAATGTACACGTATTACTCTGCTATCGATTTATTGAAAGATGTTTGTTATTGTGCAGTACAACGATGAGCAATTCGGCAAAAGTCAGCATAAAATATTTCCCCTTTCCAAAAATGCTGCCCCAAGTTTTCGCGGATTGCGTGAGCTCGCCTGGAGATCGGACACAGGGATTTAACGGGTTTGATTGATTGCTCTCTCAAGACAAATAATGACGGATGGCTAAACTTACAATATTTTTAAAAAAATCATCAATATCATCAACGTCATCATGTTTTTTTTTATTGATGGATAGACGTTTCCATCATCATCATCGTCGTCGTCGTACTACCAGCAGTGCATTGAAAGATGTTTCTCCGTCATTCTGATTTTAACTTGACGACCAAAGGTAGTGCAAGGACGAGCCCATGTACATGGCCGCAGTAGCAACGCGGAGCCAGAGGCAGAACCAGAGCTATTATATATCACAGAGACGACATCAACATTCATTTTTTTCTACTTTGGTTGTCTCTTCACAATGAAGTATGTTGACACGCAGGGGCACACATGCATTTTTGATGGGTACGATAACGTAGTTATTTAACACAAAAATCAATGGAGGTGTTTTCACGTTGTGAAAATGTGTTTTCATTCTTTTTTGATTATTTTATTTCTTATATAACACGTGAAACCTTCGGAGTTGCACGAAAAAAAGCCAGCGATCGTTTAACCTTGAGGCCACACGGCAATAACTGTGCATTAGGGGGACGATTTCTTTTCCATCACGGGAGCAAATTTAACTCGGACGCCTGCGGCTAATTCCATTAATCAAAATGAGGTCGCTCTCACCTACTCCGGTGTAATTATTTTTTCGCAGGAAAAAGAAAGTTAAACAACGCAACAAATAAACAAAGAATTAGCTAAAAGCTGATTTTATAAATCAAAGTTATTTTAAAACTGCGTGGGTATTTTCGGTTTTGCTATATGACTCTGGTGTGTTTTCGGTTTATGTCTGACATTTTGCTCTACATCCTGGGAGCATTTTCATCACGTAACATCTGGGATGAAACTGACAGCTCCTGAAAAACCTCCCAGCACGTGGAGCGAAACGTCGGACATCATGCCTATGTATTTGTCCTGGCATACGCTGGAAAATAGGCATTTACATTATTGTCTAATTGGCTCGTAGCTTTTTGGACACTAAAACCACCCCTCCAGTGAAGGTTGTCCAAAATCCGGCGAAATGTTCGATTATGATCTGGGGTATGGCGACCGAACGGATTTATTTATTTTAATGAATTTTCCCTGCGAATATGTTTTTCTTATGTGCATTTTTTTTCTCGTTATGTGTTTTTTTTACTAAGTAGTGAGGTTTTGTTTTTGTAATATCTGTACGGAACTGAAAAATGTATGTGCAGCATTGTGCAATGCAATTGCTTGAATGACGCTATATAAAATAAAATTACTATTTACCGAACAATACGCGGAACAACCCTAAAAATCTATCGGAGGCCCAAAGTTCTCTGTAATTGTGCGTGTTTATGGAACACACAATAAGAAAAACGTTTCACTGTGTTCAGGTGGAAGAGAATACGTAACGTCCATCAGAGTCGGTGCTACCGTACTCTGTGCCCAGGTGAGTCCGATCTGTAACATCGTTATGTTAAATTTTGATTTAAAGCTTTCGTGACTGCAGTAATTCATAATCTTAGCTCTTTCGGTAAAGTCACGTTGAAGGGAAACAATAAAATAATAAAATATATATAAAACAATAAAAATTCTCACGACGTTTCGACCATAACACAAACGGTCGTCATCAGGTGTGTTGGTTTGCATTAATTTATTTATTTTTGAACGGTGTATTTATTTATTTTTAAAAAACGTCAGCGCCACGCGCAGCGATTTGGCAGTTTATTTAGAAGGACTAGTCCATCTATGTTTTGAAAAGAAGAGGGGGGAGACGAAAAATTAATGTATGCTGTCTGAAAGCCACTGTAAACGTGAACAATCAATTAAGACCTGAAATGGTTAATCAAATCTTTCCAATGATTGCTAAGCCAGAATCATTGTTATAATTCAGTAGGCTCACATGACATTGACTTTTCCAAGACAGAGGTTCTTTGTAAGCCATCTGGCTACCATGAGAGATTCGTTCATGAGGCTATCCACAAATACAAGCACAGAGACAATTTCAACCGAGAAGATGGATTCTGGCTTAGCAATCATTGGAAAGATTTGATAAACCATTTCAGGTCTTAATTGATTGTTCACGCTTACAGTGGCTTTCAGACAGCATACATACATTTTTCGTCTCCCCCTCCTCTTTTCAGAACATAGATGGACTCGTCCTTCTAAATAAACTGCCAAATCGCTGCGCCTGGCGCTGGCGTTTTTTAAAATAAATACACCGTTTATAAATAAATAATTTAATTCGAACCGGCACACCTGATGACGACCGTTTGTGTTATGGTCGAAACGTCGTGAGAATTTTTATTGTTTTATATATTTTATTATTTTATTGTTTCCCTTCAACGTGACTTTACCGAAAGAGCTAAGAATATCGTTATGTTATTCAATATGTACCAATTCATTTGTATGGAAAGCTAAATTGTTTACGTTTTATCCCTGTTTTTTATTATTTTATTTTAGCACCTATAATATCCCAGGTGGACCGGTGCTGGAGTGGTTAACGCACTGAGTTTGATTGCCGGCCACATCTAACATCGATGACGAGTGATATGTCAACCAGTCATGGGCCCTCCCATCCCCTCTCCCATACGCAAGTGACCAGTGGAAGTTTAGTCAAACAACCCCACGACTGACAATCGTTTGGGCAGGCCCTCATTCCAAAAGTATATTTACAAAGGGCTGCAAATTAGTTGTTGCATATGATTATCCAGGGTTTAATTTCTGACTGAAAATGTTCTGGGTTGCTGGTAGACTGCAGTAGGCCATAGTGAGAGGTGTACTTGATGTGGTGTTCTGGGTCGCTGACCCATACCGACCCAGCTGAAATTAGGTCCTCTTAATGTTTCAGCATTGGAGATATGTCAATGGGTAACCAAAAACAACGTTTGGGGAATGGTCTCAGAAAATGTACTCTTCACAACTGTTTTTACTGGCAAAGGAGGTCTCATAATATAAATGCTCACCACGAGCCCTCAATACTCTGATAGTGCGCTGTTTTTGAGTTGTACGCCTTTTGGCGTCTTCTGGTCCAACACCAGTGGAGACTAGGCTCTAAGAAAAGCTGTCTCGGGTGTGGACCAATCAAATTCAAGGACAGTGCATATTATTATCAGAGTTGTTTCTTTTGTTTGCATTTTGACTGCTTGTGTTGTGGTTATTGCAAACATGATGCCTTGAATAAAGGTGTCAGTTTTTGTGCCAGTTAAAAGGGTAAAACCTTTTGATTTAAAGCTTTCGTGACTGCAGTAATTCATATTCTTAGTTTTTTCGGTAAAGTCACGTTGAAGAGAAACAACAAAATAACAAAATATATATAAAACAATAAAAAATTCTCACGACGTTTCGACCATAACTCAAACGGTCATCATCAGGTGTGTCGGTGATGATGACCGTTTGAGTTATGGTCGAAACGTCGTGAGAATTTTTTATTGTTTTATATATATTTTGTTATTTTGTTGTTTCTCTTCAACGTGACTTTACCGAAAAAACTAAGAATAGGGTAAAACCTATTACTATATCTTCACAACTGGTTCAGAAGACAAAAAGAAGTCACTTCAAAAGACCTCTCTAACCGAATGCTGTACGTTGCGGACGTCCATGATATGTGAAAAGAGATGTTTGTCCCATATCACTTATACAATACATTGTCAATGTTAACACTAAGAGCTAAGCCTGGCTGAATTAAGTGAAAAAGCTGTTTTTTTATGAGATTGATGTACCTGTGAGGGCATTAGTCATTGAGGTTTAAACCCTGCACCTAAATTGCGCTGGTTCAGTGCTCCAATACAAAGAGGATGACTCCCTGAGCCATTAGGGCAGTTCATGTTTTTCCATTTTTGGATGCAGTTTTGTAGTGTACTTGTTTTTTTTTTATTTGTCATCGCTTGCTCCGTAGACCCGTGTGACCCCAATCCATGTCAGAATGGGGGCACGTGTGTGGCTGAAGGAGTTGAGGCATACAGCTGCCTCTGCCCCCTTGGGTTCGGAAGCCACAGGGACTGCGGTGAGTGCAATGCAAGTACACATTTAAGCTTTTAGTAGCCCGCAGTGTGTATACGAATGGTGTTTTACTTTTTTTGATGTGTTGCGCATTAAATTGCACCAAAGCGTCATAGCACACGGCAAATATTACGTGTCACGTGTGTAATCGTCCCTGTGGGTGCTTTTGCAAGAAGGTGGTGCTGTTTTATTTTTTGCATAAAACCAACCATTATGTTATTTTCTCATTTAAAGGTGGGACCCAGTTTTTAGGTAAGTCGTCCACTATTAAATATATACATTGCATTGCATGTCATTAAAAACAACGGTGGAATGCGAGTCTTCTTTTATTAAGCCACTTGTAAATGGCATTGCTAGGCTTCAGCACAAAGCCATGGGCTCTGTGGTTACAACTTTGGGCTAGATACAAATTTTGACAAATGTTAATGTTTATGAGATTTCTGGCGAAACTGTATTGATGTCTGCATTGCCAACAATGGGAAGAGTTGTTGAGGCATTGTGTTTCCGCCTTTTCAGCGAAATGTTAATGTAGCCTTGTGTTTCCACTGGCTGTTGGAGAGCATTATTGTAGCACATACTAAAGACACAACGACAACATATAGAACAGTCTGCGGTTTTTTTAATTGCTTACCATGGGGAATTAAGAGAATAAATGATTACTTCTGACACCAAAATATTCCTATTAACGAGAGATGAGCTTAAATTTTGATTTAAAGCTTTCGTGACTGCAGCGATTCATATTATTTCGATTTAAAGCTTTCGTGACTGCAATGATTCATCTTCTTTGGTTCTTTCGGTAAAGTCACGTAGAATGATAATAAAATAATAAATTGATAAAATAAAACAATAATATTCTCACGACGTTTCGGCCACAACACAAGCGGCCTTGTGTTGTCACCTGATGAAGCCTGATGAAGGCCGCTTGTGCTGTGGCCGAAACGTCGTGAGAATATTATTGTGTTATTTTATTTTATCAATTTATTATTTTATTATCATTCTACGTGGTGACTTTACCGAAAGAACCAAAGAAGATGATTCATATTATTGGTTCTTTTGGTAAAGTCACGTAGAAGGAAAACAATAAAATAATAAAAATAAAAATATAAAACAATTGCTTTATATTTTATTCTTTTATTTTTCCCTTCTACGTGACTTTACCAAAAGAACCAAGAATAAGAGATTAGCTTATTTGTCCGTCGGTCCGAGGGTTGCTACCTCTGAGGTACAAAAGTCTGGGAATATCACGGGAAGAACAAATGTCACAACAGCAGAATAGTTATGTCTTGTGCAGTGCATTATCATGTCATTCATTATTATGTAATTTAAAAAAAATGTTCCACGAGGACTTACAAGTTTCCAAGGCTAGCCACCTCAAATAGAGGACATTCCTGAGAAAACTAGGACAGTGGCAACCATTGTTGGTCCTGAATACATTTTTGTTTTAATTGTCAAACGGCATTTCGAGCAAGTGACATGTATTAATTCATGGATATCGATGAAGTTATTTTGTCTTCTCTCTGCTCATTCGGCTGCCATTCCCGGTGGACGTGCACCCGACCGCCCAGTGCCAAGCGTGGCTGCGGACTGTGCCGTGGACCTGCTGTTCCTAGTGGATGGCTCGTGGAGCATGGGCCTCGAGGGATTCCTTCGTGCCAAGGCCTTTGTGAAGCGGGTCATCCACAGCCTTCTGCAGACCTCCCCGAGCGTTCTTATCGGCTTCATGCAGTACTCCGACACGGTGCACGTGGAGTTCACCTTGGGTCAGCATGCCGGCTACACAAGCCTCGTCCGCAGCATCGACGCCATCAAGTACCGTGGCGGCAACACCAACACAGGCGGCGCTTTGGCCCACGTGGCCCAACTGGAGTTCAGGGCGGAGACCGGCTCCAGGCAGGAGGTCCCGCACGCCGTGGTGGTGCTCACCAACTCTAGGTCGCGCGACGCGGTTGCTCCGCCGGCCCAGTTCGCCCGAGAGAGGGAGATTTTCCTCCTAGCTGTGGGGAGCGAGCAGGTCCGCGCGGAGCTACAGAGCATCGCGACGCCGCTGAATGCGCTGCCTTTCAGCGACCCGCTGGACTTGTACAACAAGGTGATGGAGCTGAGGAGCCGGATCTGCAGTCTCAATTCACAAGGTGCAGAAAGTCTGATGATGAGTAACGGTTCCGGAGAAATGTTTGCGAGTAGACAATTTAAAATAAAAGTCGACATATTTTAAGTACATATTGTGTGTATGTGTGTTATTTGGCATTTCGCTTAGCTGTCATGTATGATAAATGTGCAACGTAAATGCGTGCTCTTTGTGAGACTGTCAGTGCACAAAAGCGTACACGTTATCTGTAATTTAATTCCAGTTGCATGCATGTTTTGGATGAAGTTTTGTATATTTACTTGTTGAGATACCTGTAACAATGAATGTTAAAACAACAGCTTGTTATTGCGTCGTTTTGGTGTCTTTCACAACACGAAGCATCATCAGATAAACATATGTCTGCAGGATGTTATTCCAGACCTTTGGACGTCATCTTTGTCCTCGACTCGTCTGCAAGCATCGGCCGGCAAAATTTCCGCAGCGTCAAGGAGTTTGTGAAGGACTCCGTGTCGCAATTCGACATTGACCGTGACCTCGCTCAGGTGGCGGCGGTGATTTACAGCACCAAACCGCGCGCGCTCTTCCACCTGGACACGTACGACAGCGAGAGCCGGATGAAGCGAGCGCTGTCCACCGCGCCGTTCCTCGGCGGCCTCGCGCTCATCGGGAGAGCGCTCGGCTTCGTGGCCGATGAACTCCTCACGGTGCACAGGGGTGCTCGTCCCGGCGTGCGGAAGGTCGTCGTGGTGGTGACCGACGGGCTGAGCGCGGACGACGTCGTGGGGCCCGTTACGACGCTGCTGAGCAACGGGGTGTCCGTTATCCTCGTCAGCGTGGGGGATGCTAATCGCAGGCTCTGGATCACTGCGCAGCCCAGCGATGTTATTTCAATCCCTTCCTACAACACGCTAAAGCACTACATGGACAACGTCATCTGGAGGATCTGTGAAGGTACCCCGTTTTTCAACAAGATGCGCATTATTAAAAAATATATATGTTTACTTGTTGAGGTATATTTCATCATGAATGTATGTCATATTTAATGACATTCATATTAATTAATTGATTTATTTGTGTTTCTGGTGTATCTGGTAAACTGTGTAAAAGTTACGTGTAAAAGCATTGCTAATAGGTTTTTCCCCTTTTTTCTGGCAACAAAATATGTGTTAAGATGTTAAAACACCAAACTTAAACCTTTTTCAATTAATAATGTGTGCATTAACCACAATGCTTGTGGTCAGAATGCAAAAAAAAACCACACTGATAATATATGCATTGTCCTTGAAACTGATTGGTCCACACCCAAGACAGCTTTCTTTTGAGCCTCGTCTCAAACGGTGTTAGACCAATTGCAATACGGTACTTTGTATGAAAAGCTGCCTATTATTAAATGCCATTTGACAAGGTGGTCAGATGGTTTGGAGGTCAGATCGCTGAGCTTGCACTGCTGAGAAGCAGAGTTTGAATACTGTCAGTCACTTGTAATTAAACCATATGCTGATATACATCGGATAACATTTTGCTTTGCATATTCTTTGGGTCTTTCGGTATTGTCACGTAGAACAAAAACACGATGATTGCTTGTGTTGTGATCGAAACGTTGTAAAAAATATATATAAAAAATGTTGTACTACGTGACTTTACCGAAAGACCCAAACAATATAAATTCCTGCAGTCACGAAAGCTTCAAGTCAAGATTTTGCTTTGCACTTAATTTGACAAAATTGTAGTCTGATAACTCAAAATGTTAGTTTTACTGTTATGTGGCATATTGCGAAAGTGGTGCCCCCTAGTCTGTAGGCCAGAGGTCGCTGTAAAGGGTCTCAGAGGTATCTCTGTGGTATCTGCTTCCATGTGCTGTTCTCTAACACCAATGGTTCCATTTTGCCTGAATAAATTCCAGCTCGTTCATATACTGGACTGTGCACGCGACTAGTAACCACAGCCATCGCAAGAGGCATTGTGGACGTGGCGTGCTGGGTGAAAAAGTATTTTCAAGGTCACTCACCTGGACAATCCCAGCTGAAATTATATCCTCATTCCACTCCTCTTGGAATCTTCATCCTGCGACATGACACCAATGATACCCTTGGGGTAAAACTGGAGAAAGACTGCAATGAAAATTATAATACAATGCCAATTCAATGTTGACTTAAAGCTTCCGTGACTGCAGGAATTCATATTCTTTGGGTCTTTCGGGAAAGTCACGTTGATAGGTTCAAAGAAAATAACAAAAATAACAAAAAACTACAACGTTTCGATCGCAACACAAGTGTTCGTCTTCCTGATGACGACCGCTTGTGTTGCGATCGAAACGTCGTAGTTTTTCTTTTCTTTTCTTTGAACCTATCGACGTGACTTTAGCGAAAGACCCAAAGAATATGAGAATTACATTTTCACTCAGGGCTTTCTTTCGATAATTTTGCAAACACATTTTCCACGCAGAATCCAAGCAGCCGACCAGCCCCTGCTTGCCAAACCCCTGCACTAATGGAGGAATGTGCTCGCTGCTCACCGGCAGCTACCACTGCCAATGTGTGGGTTGGGATGGGCCTCACTGTGAGCACCGTAAGTATACTCGCAACTTACACGCTATGCTAGTACTCAGATTGTAAATGCTGTGGATTTACTCTCCAACACACCGGTGTGCTGTACTAGTAACGCATTGGCATTTTCTGTTTACGTGACAAACCATACTAATTGGCTGTGTCGGGTGGTGCTGAGTTTAACGACACATTTATATTTACACGATCGGAGACAAAAAAAAAACCTGTATTATGGACGGTGTGCTTTTAAAAAATATTTATGTACATGTACTTGTACAGGCCTTTTGTAAATCCCCTATTAGATGAGTGTTTCTCCACCACACCTGTGCAGGTGGCTGTGGTTATTTGACTATGCCATGGTGGTAAATGTATGGTAGCAAAAAATGTGTAAGCATGGAAGTTCAGTACAACCATTGATTTTGCTGTACTGTTTTGTCTTCAACTACCAACCACGTAGACTGGCAATCATGTTTTTGCTAGGTGGTCATGCATCCAAGCACTATACTCAACTCTGCTTAGCTTCCAACATCTAAACGAGATCGGGAACATGCTGGGTGATTTAGTCAGAGGCAATGTTTATGTATTATATTGTATATTCGTTAATCAATTTAATAATGAATGCTTCCCCACACCAGTATTGTTTGACCATGGCTAACCACGCTGGTCAGTGCAGGTTTGTAAAGGGGGGTGCCAAAGATGGCTTCAGATATTACTTGCCACTAAAGACAGCAGTCTGCAGGAATGGAACCCAGTGGACCGGGTTCATAACCCAGGGCACTAACCACTGCGCCACCAGTACACCGCTATATTCACATATACTATACCCTAGGATAAAAAAAAACACACCTTAATGAGATACACACATATGCTGCTGAGGCATTGCTTTATTGATTTATATGGCAAGAATGGAATGTTTTATAATATTGTAATTTTGTTTTATGTTTCCTGCACAGGAATTAGACGGCATGACGTTCACGCTGGCTACCATTACACGGGAGCAAGAACATAGCTGTTTGTTAAAACGATAAAAAATATATCGTTTTTTCATATGTTTTACTATGTGTTTCATAAAGTGAATATTTTATCACCACAAATCTATCCCGATAAAAATAAGAGTTGTGATTCGGATGCTTCAAATGATCACACAAAGAGAAAATGTACACATTTACATTGTTCTGCCATATTTGAATTGACAATCGCATGTTAAGTGTCACGTTATATACACAGCGATGTTAACAATGAACAGTGTCGTACTGATGACAAACATATCTCAGTTATATAGCAAGTTGTTTGCAAGCTAATTGTCACGATTAAAATAGAGTTCAACTTCTCATGCGACTCACGAGAAACCATGATTAACAATCATCATACATCGAATACATCAGTGCAATACTTAATGGCATAAATATACCTTTTAAATTGCTTTGCTTACTAATAGCCAGTAGCTTGAATAAAAATCAATCTTAATATTTCAATTTTCATAATGGCTTGTGTAAATATAGCAGCAGATATATAAATACATTCTTTGTTTATTCTGCCTGATAAATCATGTTTGACGTAAATGTTTCTTTTCCACAATATCTTAGTATTTGAAATATATACACAGTGCAATAGGCAAACAGTAAAAAACGGTACAAATATGTAAAATGAAAATTTTTCGTATTTGCGTATTTTGACATTACATTTTTAATCATGTATATTTTAATTATCTACTAATATCACTCTTTTCAACCATAAATCAATGCATAAACTTTACATGAGATTAATTGAATGTGAAATGACTTGTAAAATATATTAAACACAGTAACGACATTGTGAAGAACACTGGCCCACACTTTCAGTTGTCTGATGGCAACTGTCCCATCTTGTCTAAAAACAACAACCTTGTGACTGATCCTGAAGGCCATGATACACTCGGGCGACGTATTGGCAATCCTTCATGGCAATCTTCCCTTGCAAAGCATAAGGGCAGCTATTACCTACTGATTAGGCAATCGCACAGTAACAGAGTTCTGTTAGCCAAACAATACGGTTTCGTGAGAGCTGTGTTTTCTGACTGCACCTTTGAGTGACCATGTGAATCCGAGTTTTCCACCGAGGGCAGCAAATTTGGCAACTTAATATTTTCACCAAATAAAATTGTGTGGTAACCATTGCTGGGGCCGAATTTTGGCAAAAATTACCTAAGAACGTCTCCAGTAAAAAACTACCGAAACGTCCTTGTCTGGCCAAGACGGTCCCAGCTTAAGAAATACTTTTCAAGTATCCCAAAGCTTTTGCAAAAATATAGATTTTTTTTTCTTCTCCCGGTCGAAATATTTCTGGTCAAATGTTCGACTTACGATACGGGAAGCATAGGGTGGGGCTACATGAGCAGTGGGTGGGGTTGATAAGAGGTAGTAAATGGGGCCAATGTAACAGTTGGCAGGGCCAATGTCAAAAGCACGAGGAGGCCCTCTCACTGGGCGGAGTTCATGGCGCTCGAGTGGGCGTGGCTATGTAGACACGGGCGGAGCTGACCAAGCTCCCCGTGTTTTCCGGCTGAGCTTCACAGAAATTTGGTAACTTTACCAAAGTTGTGTTAGCGCACTGGACTTAAACTACGGAGGTTGTCGGTTTGATCCCCCTGCCTCTGTCCAACAAAAATAATAAATGGATCCCCTACATTTGATCGGCAGATTGTGTGTGGTTGGGTATAGTGTGGGTAGATATGTACGTTAAGCGAAAGTGCGGGGGCTAATCGGAGGTGCGGGTACTCCCACCTCTTCCAAGACGTCTGGCCAGCATGGAAGAGTAGACCAAATACCCTCTTGCAGGGCTTTCTAGACTTCCCTCTAGTGAAGCCCCTTCTGCCAGCAGCATCATGAGCAAGCCATTGCTGCGCTGCACCTTTACTCTTTTACCCCAGTGTATCATGACCTGTGATGGCTCTAGAAGCGTTGCTTCGATGGCATGGACGTTGTTGGCTTCCGGCTCAGATTGATGCGCTTGACGTTGAGCTCGTTGGCCAGGGCTCGCGCCTGCTGGTACAGATGCAGTGAGCGCACCCGGTCCAACACCTGATTGTGGTAGACGGATGCCAGGCGCTCGTACAGCCTCAGCTGCAGCTGCTTGTTGCCCAGCTCCAGCGCTGCCAACAGGGCCATGTTGTAATAGGCAAGGGCGTCTTCGGTGGTCTGGTGGGATAGGATAAAATGGGACAAAAACCAGCTCTGTTTATTTATAAGAATAATAACAAAAAATATTCAGTTGGTTCAGTGGTGGAATTTATTGTGGTCAAGCGTTTACAGTGGTAGGGCCACTCTCTAAATTGGATGCTGCACACAAATGGCTGTGCTCATTGCCAAAGAATGCCTCCTGCTCCAAGCTGCTTCCGGGAAGCGTTAAGGGGCTCTGTGCAGTGAGCACCTGCAGACCGCTTTTCAGAGATAAAAATTTTTAAATAGCAGAATATGGAATTTACACCATAAATATGTTAAGTTTTTTTACTTAATGATGTAGATTTCCCTTAGACATTACAAATGGACAAATATTATATGCCTGCCAAAAGAAGATATGTTGAGAAGCAAAGCTGTTGCTATGTAACGTTCTTTTCTATGCTTATATTCATTAGCCAGGTTGTGACACTTTGCTTGATCGATTAAAATAAATTATCATGCACAGGACAAATGCGTAGAATTATATAAGACTCAATCTTATAGTATATATGTCATTTATATGTGAGTAATAAGCGAGGGTTAAACTTAGGCTAACGAGATAGACGTAACTTCATGAACAATAAAGAGAAAAGACAAATGGACTGTAATACAAATGAGACGAAAAAAATGTAATCGCTGAAGGTAATTGCAGAACAAAAGCTTGACTAGTCATGGAAACGCTGGCGAGATGAGCCTTTACATTCCCGACGTCAATTTACTTTTTGTTTATTTGGTATTTTAAGTGGAAAAATACTCTAAACGACCGGGAGAGAGGGGCTTTACAAAATACCGCATAGCGCGGTCGCGAACCCAAATTGGCGACATCATGCCGAACACAACCACTCAACATTTGACTGAAACAAAAAAGAAAAACCATGCATATGCATGCATTCCGTAACACCTTCCAACACATACTTGGACCTTATGTATATATTGCTGCTGCTCTGTTAACAAAGTTGGCAATAAATATATTGCGCTGTTGGCCACACAACGGGATGATGTCATATGGCACATGGCGTGAGACGTCGGACAAGGTGATCTAGGTGACATCGCCCATAATGTTGTCATTGGGAGGGGAGGCACTTGGCTGCCAGGGCAATTCCTTTGAAACACTGTTTTTTTTGGAACAAACCCTTTCATCAAATGGTTTTCTACAAGTCTCTAACAGCAACACAACCATATCCTAACTTTTTATTCGTATTGGATCATCTTTATCACCCTCACATTACGGAGAAGCAGATGGAGCTCCATGCTGGCCAGGTGTAAAAAAAAAAAAACTGCTAAAAAAAATAATCTCGGTCCCGGGAAGAGTGGTCTCGGGTGACAAGACTGATTCCTCCTACCCTGAGCTTGTCGGAGGCCAAGTCTCCGAGCCTTAGGCAGCCGTGCATGCAGTAGTAGAGCTCGTCGTGAGAGAGCCGGCACGAGGTGGACAGCGACAGCGCACGTAGGAAGTGGTGCTCGGCCAGCTGGAAGCGGGCCTGTTGAACGCACGCCAAGCCCAGCCGATGGTACGTCACCTTCTCGCTCAGGCCGTCCCCTGCAAACGAATTTAAAAGCAAGTCAAAGAATTCCCACCCACCCCACCCGCCTCTCCTGCAAGTGCCGTTAACAAGCACCCCAACCATAACCGGCACGGCGCACGTGGCGGTAGTGGTGGTGGTGGTCAGAACCCCGTGCTGCTGTTTACACACCGCATCAGGTGCTATATTTAAGGCTGAGTCAACCCAGGGGAAGCCTTTGACCGAAATTTGTGATCACCGCCAACGTTAGCCATGGCTGGGAATGGAATCCATGGGCGCCGGGGTTGGTAGTGCAGTGCGCTGACCACTGTGCTTACTGCGACGAGTTCACACGTGTACGCGCGCTCCCACCTGCCCAATGTTGGCCCATGCAACGTGTTGGATTCCATGTGACCTTGTGGCCTGCAGGCAGGCAGCTCTGGCGAGCGCAGCCGGTTTCTTAAGTAACTTTTTTTAAAAGTCGTAAACTGTATCTCAGTATTTCACAATGGGAGTGTTTTGCGGTACTCTTTTTGGACACTCTGTACGGTATCTGGCTGTCCGCACAGCAGAAGGTAGTGCAGCAAATAGATATTTTCGCACTGTACTGCTATGCTTTGGAAGGCAATGCTCCTGCCTTTGCCAACCTGCCCTGACTAGCGTGGTGATGTATGGTAAAATAACTGACTTAACCCTCACGGTCTGGGGAGGTTCCCATTCATCAGCGGGCATTTTTTGGAAATGCATTGTAAATGCTGTATCTACTTCATTGTGGTAATTACGCGCAGGCTAGTTTGTATGTTGATGGCCGCAATTGACTAAGAGAAGACTTAGAGAAGTCAGATTTCCCAGAAAATGTGGACAGTACACATCTCTTCAACTCCAGCGCTGTCCTCCAGACAGTCTCGTCCCTTCACCTGATGAAGGCCGCTTGTGTTGTGGCCGAAACGTCGTGATTTTTTGTTATTTTATTTTCACCTACGTGACTTTACCCAATAGAACCAAAGAGTATAGTACACATCTCACCGATCAATGGTTGTTCTGCCCCCTAGCGGAGTTAATTAACAGTGCACACTGGCATCTGCTGATGTTTGCACACGTTACCATGCTTATGTTAACGTTACTGTGATACAGCATAGCATCTGCGTCACAAGGTTAACCAAATAGTTTGATAATAACTGCACCAATAATTGGGTTAGTTTCCTCTTGATCTGGCGAAATTCCAGCTCTGCGACTTGAATGAAAATAATGGTTTTGATCCAAGTAATACACTGCTAACTGCATATTTCTCAACGATAGTTTCTTCACCTTTCTGAGACGATGCCAGTAACACAATTGGAATGTCATTAGGCGGACAAAAAAGCGGTTAAGAAAATGGGTTCATGAACTGTGAAAAAAATATGAAATAGAACGGTATGTACCAAGCTGCACGCTTAACTGCAGAGCGTCGGTGCTATGCATCGTGACTTGATGAGGATTTCCCAGCTGGCAATGCAGCTCTGACAGCTTGTGGCAAAGCCTTAACTCTCTCCGCTTGTCTCCGAGGTGTCTGGCAAGTGGCAGAGCGTGGTCCTGTTCGACGGAAAGTGTATTACGGCATTAAGTAGGGATTTCATTGACAACAGCACTGAAATAAATGTTAAATTTCACGATAAATAGCATCGTCATGTCATTGCTTCGTGCTACAAGGTGTCAACAAAGATGTCAGCTGTTAGAAAAAAATATTATAATTGGACAGCAGTTTGAGCTATGTCAAAAACAACTATGCACATAAACACACATAATTGGTCGTGTGAACATTTTATCTTGTAAATACAATCTCTATAAACACCTGCATGTCCACCAGGGGAGTGGTGACACATTGTATTGAAGAGCACCTCAGGCATTTGCTAAACCTCAGGTGTGATTGTTTCGAACAATTCTGTTATGTGTTGTTGAAGACCACTTAAGATTAAATTTTTTGGGACAACACTGTTATATTTCCCGTAACCCTACACAAAAAAATCCATCGCCGTTAGGTCTTTCGACATCAGTCCACTTTGTCCACACCAGTTATTGTGGCAGGGTTCCATTGAGATCCTCTCTAACAGCTAATGTTTCCTGACCTGTAGATGCAGCGTGGGGGAACCCACTTTCCTGTTGGTTTATGAGAGAGTTGAGTGGGACATCCTTCGTGAGTAGTAGCGCAATGTATAGGTGCTGTTGAGTGATCCTCAACAGCACGCGACAGAAACAATTTAAACAATCGCACAGGCTGTTGATGGCAAACACCTGGGATGCTTCCAAATCTTTATAGGATGTCCGTCGCTAACACCATGATGGACGTGGATTATTAGAAGGATGAATCTCATAGAATAAAATCTTACTACCAATTTGGTGTGTGTGTGTGGATCTATGGTTTTAATTACCAAGCTCAAAACCAAATTTTCGTTTGTTAGCAATGGATCATACCTCTATGTATGCTGTACAATGTTATGATTATGTACTCACCTCGTAGAAAACAATGGCTTTTTCTGGTTCCCTTTTGCTGTTGAAGAACACATCTCCAGCCGCTTCATAGACATGCAGGGCACACTCAACTTGTCCCAGGGTTAGGGCAACCTCCACTGCCATCTGATAAGTAACACAACAACCATGCCTTTAGACTTTACTGGAACATAAATTGCATTGTGTCGTGTATTTTCAGCGGATGCTTATTCCAACTGATGATTTCATAATGGGTTCATAATATTTAAAAGTTCCTTTATAAAAATGAGTTAAGATGTAGAATTTGGTCGAGGAGTACAGATGTACAATACTTATTCTTAGCTCTTTCGGTAAAGTCACGTTGAAGGGAAACAATAAAATAATGAGAATTTTTATTGTTTTATATATATATTATTATTTTATTTGTTTCCCTTCAACGTGACTTTACCGAAAGAGCTAAGAATATGAATTACTGCAGTCACGAAAGCTTTAAATCAAAATGTACAATACTTATTAAGTAATGCTCATATCAGCCCATTTACTTCTAGATTTGAAGCTTTCGTGACTGCAAGGATTCATACTCTTTGGTTTTTCGGTAAAGTCATGTAGGTAAAATAAAATAAATGAAAACAACTAAATTAAATCATGATGTTTCGGAGGCAACACAAGCTTCCGTCTTCAGGTGGAACAGTCACAGCAAAATAGCTGTATCAAGTGATACAGCTAAGTGATACAGCTATTTTGCTTTGACTGTTCCACCTGAAGACGGAAGCTTGTGTTGCCTCCGAAACGTCGTGATTTAATTTAGCTGTTTTCATTTATTTTATTTTGTAATTTAATTTAGTTGTTTTCATTTATTTTATTTTACCTACGTGACTTTACTGAAAAAAAACAAGGAGTATGAGCCCATTTACTGTTGTACGGTACTAAATAATGTTTAATATTAACTCATAATGGGGCCTAATCTTTTCGTCGTCATGCTGATTGTATGAATGTCATGGCAGTTTTACAAATGGGCAAATTCAGTCAAAATTTTAAAATCATCCATATGCAGTGCTATTTATATGGTATATATTTATATGATCACTTTTCCCGAGTGGAAGGCAATGTCTGCATTTCTTCGTTATCAATGGGCAAATTATTTCTGTCTGAATTAGCAGCCTAATTGGTTGACATACTATACTCAAGTAAAAAAAAGCCACAATAACGATCATACTATTGATTACCCACATCTTTAAAGTGTCAGATATGTATTTATGAAATGTAGAACTGCCCAACTGCAAAATATAAGAACAGGAAAAACAAAGAATTATTACGATGGAGCAAGAGGGCAAGGTTATACCATGGCCTTGCAAGAATAATTACTGTCATCATAGTTGCAGGAGAGGTGTTTCCTGACCTGTAGATGCAGGTCCACAATCTCATTCTGGCCAAGTTTGCTGTAGATGGTCCCTGCTAGGAGCCATGCCTCAGCTGTCCTTTCCATTTCCCGAAGGTCAATGAAAATGGCCAGGCTGCGTTTCACGTACTTCACAGCCTTTCTGTAATCCCTGACACGTGCATTACATCACGGTGTTTAAATGGAAAATTAATGCAGATGTACGCTGATTGTGAATGCTATATATGGTCAATTGTAAACACAACTTAGACCCAGTAAACTAATCTGATAAATTAAACAAGGAAGAAAAATCATGCATATGCATGATTTCTGTAATGCTTTTCAACATGTGCTTGTGCTCAGAAGTATTTCATTTTTGTTGAATGAATGCAAATGACCTGCTGTAACACGGATCGTGAATGGACACTAATGGGTAAAATGTAACAAAACTGAAAAGTGCACTAAAATGAATGTAGAGATTATATTTCGACGTAAATAGGAATACACGTAATGTATTGGTTAACACGCGCAGGATAAAGATATGCTATTGACTGCTGTAAGTGGGCTTGGACAAAAAAACATGTCCCAAGAAGGAAGGCTAGCTAATGGTCAAGATAATTATGAAATGGCAGCACAGGGAGGAAACATGCCCAAGAGTACGTCCACCATTTATATGGAGTGATGAGAACTTCTTGAGTGCAAGAGTGAGATGGATTGTTGCATTACGAGGCCATGAGAGATAGCAGTGGCTTGGGAAGGCCTTCGTTTAGCAGTGGATTGAGCTTGGCTAATGATGATGAATAACGTTAGGCTGTTGAGCCAGATCGTGAGATGATGTCACATGGCATCAGGATGAAGGCACATGGTGTGTGGTAACATTGCCATGGGGAAAAAAAGGCTTTTCTGCTTAGTCTTTTATTGCCACATTTTGGGAAACATTTAGATCAGAATGTGTCCCTAGTCAAAACAAAAATGTATTTTTTAAATGTCATATTGGATCATTATGAGATTGAGTCCCCCCACTACAGAGATAACGCATTAAGGCTTTCAACCTGAGTTGTAAATGATTAAAAAGTATATTATCAAGTGAATGCAATGTATAAACGGAACATGAGTTATGGATTTTTCACACAAAACATACCAACAGATTTTGGCCCTTTACATCTTACATGAAATGCCAGACTAACCACCTTCAAAACATTTGCATAAATAGTGTAAGCACTAAATTAGCATTATACTTCAGTCAAATATTTTGCCGTGTTAATTATTAACCGTTTGCATACCTTCAAAAGAGTTGCAAATCATTGCAGGAACAGCAAAACCTATTTTGAACCACATGCTCTCATGTTATGGTCATCAACAGCTTGCTGTGCATGTCATACCGTTCAGCAATATATTATTAAGCATACCAACCACGATAGTACACGCACAACAAGTACAACACCCGACAGTCAATCCACGACTGAGAGTCATTTGACCTTGTGAGTCGTGAGGATTATATGACCATATTTCACCACGTTGATCAGGTAATGGTAGATGGGGTGAATAGACGTGGGAGCATAGAAGTACACCACGACATCGGATGTTCCTGTACTGCCCTCTGCTGCCCGCTACATAGGTCTGTAGCCTATAACAACCTGTTTTGTGAACAACGTTCTGCCATGCAACGTTCTGCCATCCAGTGCTATGCAGGCTTAACCCTACTTAGCTTCTGAGATCAGATGCATTTTACGTAATTTGGTCATAGGCCAATAATGATGCTATATATTAAATAAATACAATTAATAGCATATAATAAACATAATAGAAACAGTTGTTTGATATGGAAGCCCTCTTGAAATACGAGACACAGTGCAACTATGGTGTTAAACACTACAAAGGTAACACACAATGCAATACCTGTATTTTCCCAATCCGTGGTATATCTGACTCAGGATTTGGAGCATGTCACCCTCCAGCCGCTTGTCACGAGAACTGCGAGCCAAGTTGAGCTGATGTTCATAATAGATGATGCATTGCAGGTCATTCTTTTGGGATGAATAATGCTGGCAAAGGAGTGCAGTCACATGCATCTGACCTGTCATAAAAATAAAGAATAATTAACACCTGCAGCTTAAATTATTTATAAACGGTAAACGTGCAGCCCTGCATTTGCTTGTTCACGCCACTGTTGGCAGAATGGCCTCCAGAGGGGTATTTTTCCATACTCTTCCACACAGGCCAGACATCTTGTAATATATGGGAGTACCCACATTTAACCCCACTACACACAACCCGCAGATCAACTAACTTCTGTGTACCAATCTGTACTGCTGGGTGGACAGCCATGTGGGGGATTTCAACTGTTGCGACGTCTTGCCCCGTTACGTATTAAATGATTGGCGACTATGCTGTTGCATGTGTGGCAAGTTCAATGTTGTTTTAACAAACCTCTGACATCATTTTCTTTCAACGCGATGAGAAGTGCAATTTCGTAACACTGTAATCCTTCACTGGGATTTCCTCGAGTGTAGAAATTTTGTCCCAGTTTGACAAGAACGTGATTAAACCACTCCTCATGGTCACGGTTACTTGCTGCGAAGTATTTGTGTACAGCCTTTAAAAAGCAAATTTCAGCAAAGAGATGAGCCTTGGCGTTGACTGCAAGGAATCCCAAGTTTCCATAGCAGATGGCCACATTTGTTTCTTCACCACAACTCTCAGCCAACGCTAAGGCACTTTGGAAATGTGTTGCAGCCTTAGGTATGTTGTGATGTCTTGCATGCACTATGCCCAGGAGATTGTGTATGACGCCAGCGGAATGGGAGCCAAGTTCTGGATTTTCGAGGATTTGTGTAGCAACGGGGAGACAGTCAACCCTGATGTACATCCAGGCGAGCTTGAGCAAGAATGCCGCTGCTGCTTCTCCTGCTGAAGAGACCACTCTGACCGCATTGACTTTGTTGAGGTGACACACGGCGTCGTTAACTTGGTGCTGTTGCAGGTAGAGTTCAGCGAGACTGAGATGGGCGTAATTGTGAACGGAATTGTGAAGATATTTGTGTTCTTCCTCAAGGGGCTTTTGCAGAGCCTTGTAAAGGAACGGCGCGCACAGCGGTGACATTGTGGTGCGACGCGCCTGTCTGTTCTTTATCGTTCCCTCGCTTTTCACAATGAGTTCCACACATCTGATGCACTCAGTGATTGTCATCTGGTCACAGTCGCAGGCACGCATCATGCTGCCAAAAGATAGCCTCAGGAAGCTTGTGGCGTACAAACGGTTGAGGAGAAAGTAATAGGATGAGGTGTGTTTATTGCTCAACTGCTGGAAATGATTTGTAAGATCTTGAAGTCGTTCTATGTAAGGCAGTGCCTCGTCAGCTCTATTCAGGTTGAGCAAAGATTCGGCGATGAGAAAACAGATCCTTCCTTCCAAGCGCAAGTCATTCTGAAAGATCACTTTGCTGAGAAGGTGTTTAAGGATGTCCTGCGCTGAAGATGACCCAGTGCATTTTCCTGGGAGGCATACCAGGAGAATTGCCGTCTTTTCCATCATCGCTGTCGCCTTTTCTTTGTTCATCACTTTGAGGTACATTGAGGTCAGGTTTGTGTAGAGTGCAGCCATGAGAAACATATCCGGGAAATCTCCATCTGTCATGCTAAGTGACTCCTCGTAGTAAACGCGGGCTTGGGAGAACTTCCCTTGCCTGGAGCAAGCTCGGCCCAAGAGGAAACAGGCTCGGCTCTGAGCCCACTGCATGCCTCCCTTCTTGGCCATCTCACGGGCAAGCTCAAGAAAGCGTACCAACTCCGTGTCATCGGTGTGGCCTCTCAACAGCGAGTAAAGGAAAGGGCTGTCTTCCCTGTAGAGCACTGCAAACTCTCTCCTGTACTCGGGCGTATTTAGAAACAGCAGGAATTGGATTAGGCTCTCACTGTTTGTCGACCAGTTTTCGTTGTCTGAATCGTCACCGCATTTTGTAAGTTCCACTGAGAACCAAAGTTGAGGCTCCTCTGCCACATTTGCATCTTTGAATTTCTCGTGGGGAAAAGTATTCTCCAAAACGTGGTCATTGAGACCAAGCTTGAGGATTGTTTCGAATTCAAATGATTCCTTTGTATCTTGACTGCAAGATCTCATGCTTTTGACAACAGGATCTATGGTAGACACAGAACAGGGTTAACCAGATAATAGAACCGAATAATACATTGAAACAAGATTACTTGTAAATATTTATGTGAAAACAAAACGCAGAAGTGTATGGCACCTGCAATACAAATTCATGAATTTAATGTTGAATCATATTTACCAACCTGGTTTGTTGAGGTCTGTTTCTACATCAGAATGAGATTCTCGATCTGAAATAAATAAATTGAATTTACCACTTTATTTTATAACGGCCATTATATTGATGTACATCCTGTGTATATTTTTCATTTGGTAAGCACGACATGATAACGTTAAACACCAACCACTTCAACCTTTTGTAATCTTACCGCAAAGAATACTACAACATTACGCACGTGATTTAAACATTTTATTACAAGCTATGTTTTTATTATTATTACTACTGCAGCCCTACTTGTTATCAGCACAGCAGCACCTTGTAGACAGCATAAATACTCAAGTGTTTTGCATGTGCGGTGATGAGAGAAGGGCGCTCCTACATATCCTGTAGACTGTGCTGATGTCAGTTCCGGTCAACCGTGACAGGAATTCGTAACAATGCCGCGCTGTGCACTCATCCAGGCCACTGCGATGAAACCTCTCAGATCTGTGAAGAAATGCACCTTTCCTGCAAAAATACAAATTAACGTTTCATACGTAATCTTAATTTAACAACGAAACATAATCACTCAACAGCATTAGTGTACAGCAAATGCAGCCTGTAGCTACTGATTACAAAGGAAATGTAATGACAATTCGTACAGTACTGACGTGTCTGTGATTTGGTCGGGTCGTATACAGCTCATCCGAACAAAGCCCACTCGCTCTGTAGAAGTGACCTTTCCCATGAACCAATGCAAGCCCGGGATGAACAGGCCCTCCACCTCAATGTGATCGCCCTGCTTAAAGCTCAATTCATCTCCACACTCCGCCTTGTAGTCTGTGGTTGCCACACATGACCCCATCCCTGCAACAGGGCGATTGAGTGAAAGGGGACAGGGACACATGGGGAGAAATAATGTATGGAGAGTTTGAACGATTTTAATTCTGCAATAATTTAGAAATGGGGACGAGAATTTGAAATAAGGCAGGGCTGGGGAGAGAACTTACCAATTTTGCCATTTTCTGACAATGATGACTTGTGCTTGAGACAGTCTGAGATTGAATTACTTTTCAAGAACCACCTAAAACAAGAATACAGGTGGGGGAAAAACACATACATAGGCGCATGTAATCGTGGTATGAACTTTAAATCATTGCAGCGATAATTAGATTTTGGAAATGTATTTTATGCCCATTAAAATGTTCATTCTTAGCTAAAGATTAACGTAAATTTTAATTACAAAACAAAATTGAAGGGGCTGTTCTTGGCACGTACAGCTTATTGGGCCGCCAACGCACACTCACTGGTGAAAGTGCTGCAGTGGCTCCACCGCCGACCTCGGGATGAGGCCCTGCTTGGTGGAGGAGACGGCTCGCCCTGTCCACCACGCCCCCGTGCCCTGCGCTCGCTCCACCAGGAGCACCTCTCCCTCCGCCAACGCCAACTCCTCCCCCGACGCCTTCGCGGACGACTTCCAAGCACGCACGTGAAACCTACCTGGGGAGGGGTGGGGGGAAAGAACAACGCGTGGGGTCTACCGTCGCCGCCGCAGCCAGACGAAATGCTCCCCAGATGGGTCAAGAAGGATCGTTCCAACAAGCAACGGTCAAAGAAAAGCAGAACGTACCCACCAGTTTGTTGACTTATGTTAAGCTGCGTGTTATTAAAGTGAATGTCATGTAACTGGTGCAATATATAACTCTTTCGGTAAAGTCACGTAGGTGAAAATTTTAATTAAAAAATATAAATAAAACATTGAAATGAATAAATAACGTTTCGATTACAACACAAGCAATCATCACCTACGTGACTTTACCGAAATAACCAAAGAGTATGGATCCTTGCAGTCACGAAAACTTCAAATCCAGAATAAATACATAACGTAAAGAATATCAGCTCACTGCACCATTCGAAAGCACTAGGGCAGGGGTCAGCAACCTATGGCTCGCGAGCCAGATGTGGCTCTTTTGATGACTGCATCTGGCTCGCAAATAAATCTTAGCTGACATTTCTTTAGTTGTATTCAGTGTTAAAAAATATTATATGGCTCTTACAGAAATTTATTTTAAAATATGTGGCTTTCATGGCTCTCTCAGCCAAAAAGGTTCCCGACCCCTGCACTAGGGCGATTTTCAAAACTAATTTTAAAATCAAAGATTGCAGGTATAAAACACAGCATTCTGTAGCAATCCATGCTTGGAATCACATTGCCAGAGAGAAGATATACATGGATTAGAGAATAACCTCAGGTTGAAGGCATAAATACACCCCATTGGCTGTCAAGTAATGTTAAGTGGCTTTGGGCATTACACGTCACTCAGTAGGGATGATGGCCGGTGCTTGAGAATAACAAAGGGAGGGGGCGAGGTGGAGGGCCAGCCTGGGGAGGAAACGTGGCCAAGAGGATATCAACCAAGGAGATGGAGCGATGAAACGATTCCCGTGTAGGTGTGAGATTGATTGCGATATGGAAATGGCTTGGGGGAGGCCTTTATTGATCGTGGCTACTGCTGATGGTTATTTAAAATGTTACCTTCCTGAAGGAGAAGGCTGAGGTGCATCTTCCTCATGCTCTCATCGTTCATGTCAATTTGTACCGTGACTTGGTCTTCACAGGGATCCATGAGCCAGACAGCGTCGCTCAGCAGAGCAATTTTCAGGCACTCACTCACGAGCCCTGCAGATGACAATAAGCATTTAAAAGGAGAATAATACCCCATACAAAGTGTGCTATCTAAAACAAGGCAATTACTACACCTTTGGAAATAAATTAGCACAATTAAACAAATGAATATGCGTGGAATTTCTTGCCCAGGGAGTAGTAATTTGTGAATTTCCCGAGTTCCTCTGCTGTGTTGAACGTGATGGCTATGGAGTCTGAGTCGCTGTGGATGGAGAGGAGACGCACTGACAACTCCTGCAAAATCAAAAGTCCACACTGCAATGTTAACGACCTTCTTAACATTTCGCCATTCTTTCTCATAACAATAATAATGCACACCACTTTCATCTTCTTGGTTCTTTCGGTAAAGTCACGTAGAATGGAAATAAAGTAGTAAAAATAAAACAATAAAATAAAATTCTCACGACGTTTTGGCCACAACACAAGTAGCCTTCTTCAGGTGAAGGTGAAAGGAACAAACCTGTCGGGACGACAGAGCTTCATTGAAGCTTGTGTTGTGGCCGAAACGTCGTAAAAAAATTATTTTATTATGTTTTATTTTTATTATTTTATTTCCATTCTACGTGACTTTACCGAAAGAACCAAGAAGATGAATCCCTGCAGTCACGAAAGTTTTAAATCGAAAAGCACACCACTTTGTTAATACATGACTGGGTGAAGTCCTCCCCACACTGTTGGACATGTGGGTTATATAACCATACTTCACCATGCTGGTCAGTGTGGGTTGGTGATAGGGGTAGGGGTGGTAAGGACTATCACTCACTAACCTCTACACCATGGCTTCACCCCAATCATTTCTTATTAAATATCTTAACTGGTCCTGGACCCCACCTTGACCAACCCGAGCTGACCAGCATGGTGAAGTATGGTCAAGCAAACCCCATCATGACCAAACAAAATATTGGGAACCCTTCAAGCATGCCGCATTGAATCGACAAAAGGGCAATAAATCATGATTATTTACTTTCAAAACACATACAACATTTGACACAGTGCCTATTGTAGATGTTAATGTAAGGTAATGCTTACTCACTAGTTTAATCCTCACAAAACTTTAACTATAGCGGACATTATTTTGAACTGTACACATGACCAACATTGTTGAGGGTATAACAACATATTTACCTTAAATTTCACTGCAGCCAAGGCTATGCATGTAGGGCCATACAGTCACAGGATTAGGTGTGGAGTGAAATGAATAGGCCGTTGTCATTAGTTGTGCTCACAAAACTGCAGTGTCATTAGAAACTGAGCAAACAACATGGCTGTTGCTCAGGGCACATGGCACTGATCCAACAGGAGTATGGCAGAAGTATGGCACAGAAATTGACACGAAATCTCATCCCAGGGTATTGAATTATCCCCCCTTGCACGATGAGTAATTTCACTGTTTCATTTATGAACAAAATATTCACTCCGGTAGTTTTGGTGGCCCTTATACGCTTTTTCAAGATACTTATGGAAGTGTAAACAAAGCTCCACAAAATGAAACAGCCATAATCATACTGCATACTTATTATTCAAGAATAATATAATCAGCACGACTAAACACATTTTTTCAGTAAATTCATGCAAAGCATTTCAGAATAATAATTTTCAGCCCTTAGTCAATCCACCGCTGGATGAAGGAGTCCCCATGCAATGTCGGCCATCAAGGTCTGTTTGACCATACTTCACCACAACGGTCAGTGCGAGTTGGTGAAGAGAGGAACGGGCCCAGCACCAGCTCAGATAGCACTCGCCATTGCTACGTCAGCCATGGCTAGGAATCAAACTCAAGGTCACAAGCAATGCACTACCTCAAGCACTCCCCCCCCACCACCCCCATGGGAAAAACCCCCCATACAACAACTACACAAGTGATTAGTTAAGCAGAGATACACGAAATTGCCCCTCGTGACAATGCAAGCTCACGTGGAAGAGTGCCGTCAGCTCAGCGGGCTCACTCTCCATCAGGCGCAGATTGTCCCGCAGTCTCTCTTGGCACGCCTCGTGCAGCTCTCCGGAGTTTTTCCATGCCGCCGTCAGTCTCAACATCAGCTCTGTGTGAACGCACAGCGACATGTAACAACACAAAGGTCCCTCTGCAACCACGCAGACTGTTGGGCCAAGCGCTGTTAAGCCAGCATTTAAGGCTTATTCTACCTCGGGGAAGCCCCGCATAGGCTCAGTTATTCGTCACTGATGTTGGCAGTGAGCTGAAATTTAACTCGCAGCGCAGTGCGCTAACCATTACACTCCTGCTCGCCAAACAGCAACACACACACACAGACATACACACCAAGGCAATGCACTTAAGAAGATTCATCAGAGTTGCAGCTGCCAACCTCCGCCTTCTCTGCGTACATTATGCGCAAAGCACCCCGAGGTCTTGCGTTGCTATTTGTAATGCAATAATTGCCCCTGGGTGGGTTTCTTCATTAGCTTCCTATCCCGACCATACCCTCAATAATCTACATGGCAATTACTGCACTCCCTTTCCCACCATATTTAATATTTTTTTGCAGATTTAGAAATACATTGTTTTATATCTACAATCCCCATGTCAGAAATACTAGAACAAAGGAAATATTTGCTGTAATTAAGCAGATCCACGTAGAAGATTAAACAATGCTAGAGGCCTGGGAGCCCTCCCATAAACCCGGTAATGTAACACTGAGCAGATTGATCAGACATTACACACTTGAGCTGATTCTACGCTTCGAGGCATGCACAAGAGATAATTATCTGTGTTCGTACATACGAACACAATATGCTAGCTATGCATTACTGCTCTGTGATTAAATCGGCCGAAATGCACCGATCCCTTCAGATAACAGCTAATCAGGCTTGAGCCTGGCTACATTGTGAGCAGCAGAGAGAAGTACAAAAAAAATCCATTGTACATAATGTGATACCCTCAACGTCTACGCTCCCCCCACCTTCACCAACCGACTGAGCCTGGTGAAGTTATGGTCAGATAAACCCCATGATCAACATGGTGTTGGGGAGACCTTCGTCCAGGAGTGGTTAAAAAAAAACTATCTGTGTATGTCCATGTATCACTGGCATTAACAATTGAATAAAATAATTTTCGGACCACTTCCCAAGAGTTTTGCATTGTATTTAAATTATTTATGGTCAGCCGATGAATTGAATGATTGATGTTTTTTTAGACACTTGTAATACATTATTTATAAGTATCAATTACTATACCTGTATGAGACACTCTCTCAACCATATGCAATGAATCCACTTGAGTTGAATTCAGCTTTTTATATGTCTGTTGCTTTTTGAACACCACTCCTACCACAAGAAAAGTCACAGTTATATTACTTAACTTATAATTCGATTGTGCAAATATACAGTATGTATGACTACTTACAAAATTAGCGTTTTTGAGTCTTGTGTGAGCATCTTAAGATTTACTGTGTATATAGAACTTATCTTATCCGCAACCCTGTTACCCGCGACTCCTATTATCAGCAGGACCTGTAGGGCAGGGCCATATTATCCAACAAGCCACAGTAGGCACTGTGCCTGTGAAAACTAAAAATGTTTTTTTATATATATAACATTTTTACCAAGATATCTTCTTGAATAAATATATTTATATAGCAAGGATAGGCAGTGGACATACAAAGAGGCAGTCGATTATAATATTTTTAAGCTTAACTTGTTTTTTCCCTCAACAATTTCAAATAAAATCTGCTTATCTGCGGCACACAGCGTGCTCCCATCGAATTAGGGCACTGACTAAATAATGAACGTATCAGTATTAACGACATATGTCCAGTGGCTGGATGAAGTACGCGTGAGGCAAGCGAGTGACAGCGGTGGTAGTAAGATGGGCAGTACCATACTGAAGAGTTATGACTGAAGGCCTACGAAACAGAAGTGCATAGGGCCTACAAGAACCTTAATCCGGCCCTGCTGTAGGGTCCGCAAAAGCTCCTATTATCTATTATTTCCTTCCTAATATCGACATTCTTTCCTGTGCACAAATGGAGTCAATTTGTGGAAAGCCCAGCGGATAATATAAATCCGCGGAATTCGTCCACCACATCACCATGGATGAGAGTTCTCTACATATGTGTACTTTATATAAATATACATGTCAGTTTCATAGGATTGTTCAGACTTACTTTCTCACCTGTTGATGCTGTCTTTGAATGCGCATCCTCACCATTGAGCTCGGTCTCATTTGCAATTTCTTGGCCATTGGAAAATTCTAAACAGGTTAACTCATTCCCAGATTCGTCTGATTCGAGGTTTCCTGCGATCAATTTATGTAATGCTTTCAATGTGTAGTTCTTACATCGACAAGAGGCACAATCATCTGGCGTAGAAATTGAGAGTTCATTCTTCGTTGCATGCGAATGCTCAGCACGAGATGAATGTTTTCTCTCACTTTCCATAAGTCTGGTGCTTGGAGATTGTGTCCGTTTTCTCCGTGGTGGCAAATTCACTTTAGAATCTCTAGAATATTCTGTCCCTTCAGGTGATTCATCTGAGTGCCTGTCAGAAATCACTGTTTTAAAAATGGGACCATCATCCTGAATTCCTGGTCTATCCAAACATTCTGAGTCTGTGATACTAAGTGATTCATTGTCATCATCCAAATTATGTGACGTATTGTCAAATGAATATCCTGCATTGGGGGTAATTAATAGAAATTCTTTTTTCTTTTCCAGATCAAGTGTCTGATCAATCGTGTTAATTAACTCGCCACTACCCTTACACAGTCCATGTGGGTGATCAACTGAATATGAACCTGGCGGTGTGTATGATCTACTTGGCGACCCTTGAGTGTCAATCTGATTCTCTGTTTGTTGTTTACGGATAGCCTTATTCAAGTTCTTGTTGTTGCTATCTAAATCAGAACATGAAGAGCCCTCACTTATGTGAGTTGATGCAGAAATTATTTTTTCAAAATGCCTTGTACACATCGACTTATCTAAGAGGCACGTATGATCATTAATGTTATGCAGCTGCTCATAATTTTGACTGTTATAAGCTTCAGAATATTCAAAGTCATCATCTGAATGTAGCAGCTTATGATTTAAATTTTTTACATCATGTCTTAAGTTGTTATGCAATGATGTGTGACCACACTTGACGTGCAAGTGTTCATGACCGCCATCTAAAATAATACCTGGAAACTTATCATTTTTAAGTAATAACATAGAGTTTGGGTTTGGAAAGTCATGCGCTTTGGCAAAGTTCTCCAAAGGGGCTTTATAATCAACATTGCTACACAACCCTCCATTACTGTCATCTAAATCAGAGTCTGCACAGCTCCCATGTAAAGGAAATAACCCAGAAATTTCTTTACGGTAACTGAGTGTGCATTGCTGGCTTTGTAAAACAACTGGATCATCGCCCTTGTTACTCGACTGTTTATTACTCTCATCTAAATCAGAGTCTGAACATCTCTCTTCTGGAGGGCTTAACTCGGAGTGTGCACTCGGGCACTTGGGTGTGTAGGTTTGGCTCTTTGAAGCAACTGATTGATCACCATTATTACCCAATCCTGCATTACTGTTATCCACATCAGTGTCTGGAGAGTTCTCACTCTTTGGCAGTGACATTGGGTAGCTCTGTATGCACGTTTGCTTTTCAGCTGAGAGATCACCGGCGTATGTCAACTCTTCATTTCTGTCATGTAAATCCCGTTTCGGAGAATCATCGTTTGAATATGAAGCCTTAAAATGAATGGTTTTACTTTCATATGTGCGGTTTCGTTTCTTCTGAACACGACCAAGATCAAACATGCTTTCAAAATGTTGACCGCCGTCATCTAAATCAGATTCCTGCAAGCTGTCGCGTGACGGTAACGCGTCAACCTTTGACGTTGGCAAGTCGTTTGTGACGACTCGGTGCTCCATCACTGGCCTGTGGTCAACCGAAGCGCTGAAAGGCTGATCGGTCTTTTTTTGTGCAAAGTTGTGTCTTAAAAAAAGGCCTCCATCCTCATTTTTTAATGGCGACGCCACACTATTTTCCATCTCTACGGTCGTTCGGATGCTAGGGGTATGGCCTGTCATCATCTCCGTGTGCTCATCAAGAGACGATGAATAAAATGTTTTTGGCAAGAATGAGGCATCTTTCCGATTAAATTGTTTATCGAAATTCCTGTAAACGTCTGTGTCTCTGCCACGGTCTCTAATCTTTAAACTTGCACTGTTTTCCATTGAGGTATGTGCAATACGTTTTGATTGTAAAAATTCACTCCTGTTGTTTTTATCATCTTCGTGTGTCTGTGCACATTCAATATCGGATTGTTCATCATCAGCTTCTCTTTGCAAAGTCGTATTCAGTTGTATCTGCTGCAGTCCGCTCTGGCCAGCGTTTCCACTTTTATCCTTGTGTGGAGGACTCTTGTAAATGCTGTATGATTCAGTTTTGATTTGTGCTAACGAAGACAAACCGGCATCACTTTGTTGGCTGAGCTTCACGTCCATAGATGGGTTTAAATATTTGTTCTCCAGTTTTGATTCTCGTTCATATTTCAGACCACTATACATATCAGCCTTTGTGACCTGCGTCGCACGTGCATATTCTACGTCTTTTGACACAAGGACACTTGCGCGGAAGTCAAATAGTTTTTCCCCTGCACCTTCATCTGCCTTGTCTTTCACGGGCGCAAACTTCTCAGGTGACAACTTTCTAGGAAGACGCAGTTGACCCAAACGGGAGGCTTTGCGGCCTGTTCCATAGAACGATTGGTTTACTTTGTCAGGTGGTAAATCCATCTTTGACTTGTGCTGGATTTGCGTGTGCTAACTTGCACGCTTCTAATATTTAAGACTGCTTTCACGCGTTGATTAATTTCAGATAATCCCCATTATAAACAAAGGAATGAGTATTACATTGTGAAAACTCCCAGAACAAAAAAGGAATCTTCTTTGCCAACACTTTACTGTTGCACTTCTTTATAACCTGAAGTAAAATGCGCAAACTGATTGTACAGCATTGAAATGAGGCCTGAAACAAATTCTGCAGTTATCACTGACGCACTGTTAATACTAATGTAGAGCAGTACACCATTCTTACAAAGTTAAAATTACGAGGACATATTTTTAGTTAATACATTGGTACAGCGATTATACGACAATATAAAAGTCTGCTTTACTTTCAAAATTTGGTATTAAAAATCACTGCTACATTATCAACAAAGCAAAAATGTGTTGTTTCGTATACTTTAAGACAGTATAGGAATCTGTATATTTTCTAATTAAAGAAAACTCTATTACTAAAATATGACCATCTAGTGTTAAAAATGTAAACAGTATAATAAAATAAAACTTTACTTGATTTGTATTTAAAACCCAGTAAACTTGATGTGTTCATCCTTCAGGAATTACAATTAGAACAGTCTATTACAGCTAGTGTTATGCATTAATCTTTATTAAAATCAATCTGCCATGCTTTGCTGTTTACAGAGGTAATGAAAACAATAAATATTGTACTCATATTATCTCTTGAAGCCCCTCTCATTGCTAGCAAACCTAGCAATGAGAGGGCATATTGTCATACAAAATAATATAATTAAAACAGTGTACATACCTCTTTAACACAGTACTGTATGTATGCACTTCTTTAAAAGTTGATAAAACAAGGTACACTTGCGGTCCATGTACCAAAAGTTTTCAAACAATCCCACACGTCTGGCTTGTGTCATGCTCACTTCTTCGACTGAACAAATTGTGCCGCACTGCCCGACAAACAGACCTCTAAAGTACAACTCCTTCCTGTCACTGAGTAACTGAGCCATATCTTGCCGTAAATTAATCCACACAATAGCTCAACGTTGAGCACGTGCCTGGTTAGTGTAAAACAGAGTTTATGAAAACACAACTTTACCCCTTGAGGCTCTAGCAAGGGGCATACATTGCAATCGACCTTCTTCAGAATGACAAAACACCAAAAAACATGATTTGTTTGTCATCTAGGCTTAGCAAGGGCATAGCACTGGGATAAAAAGTAGACTTTATTTAAATCTCATTTTAAAACTACTCAGTAAAGAAGCACAGCTTTTTTTCTTGCTGAGAGGAAGACTCGTGCAATGTGGTATGTATTCAAAAATAATACTCCACCTTAGCAAGGGTTCAATGAGCAACTGTTGTCATGGAAATCTGGAGTAAGCCCTATCGCTGCCCCTCACAAGAGCAATGTTTTGAATGTTTAGCGCCGAAGTGTTTGGCTTAAGTTACATTGTTTTTATCCACTTAAAATGAAAGCACAACTCCCATTACAGATAGAAGTGAAGAGCCACATACGCTGCTATACAATGTGATCCATCTTACTTAGAATAAAGCAATACATAAAATACAGCCCTTTGTCAAAAACAATGAAAACACAACTCCCATTACAGCTATAATAAAATAGCCACATTCGCTGCTTTACGATATGATCCATCTTACTTACATGAAGCAATACTAATACACAAAATACAGCCCTTTGTTAATCCCCTGCTGTGGCCTTGCTACACCCCATGTCAGTCATGGTGGTTGCTTTGTTGTTTTACTGTGATGGTCAGTGCGGGTTGGATCACCAGTTTCCAAGGGGAGTGTGCTAACCACTCCGCCACCACTCCACCCCCCTTTTTTTAATTTCACCGCTTTCTTTCACTATTGAGTTTATTTCTTGTACGTGTAGCAATACAATGCAATTGTGGTCACGGTGATAATAGTACAGGTTCAGCTCTGGAGTGGTTGCTCAGGCCACTGCTAGCAGAAGGGCTTCAACTAGAGGGGACTCGATGGTATTTTGGCCTAACATTCCACGCTGGCCAGAGGTCTTGGGAAGAGGTGGAAATTCCCACGATTAAACCGACCACAAGCGACCTGCCGATGAATTGTGGTGTAGCAATTTATACCGGTAGACGCGCAGAGGCAGGGGAAAAAAAGAACCTGCTCTTTGTTTCCACTGCCACGCCAGGAGATGAAACCAGTGACCTTTGGGTTGCAAGTCCAGTGTGCTGACCATTCCAGCACGGTAGCATTCTGCAATTGTAGTGTTACGGATTAATCTGGCTTAGAATCAGTCGGCCATGTTTCACTGTTTATAGAACAGGAAATGAGGTAACGACAACGGCAAAATTTGTACTAATATTCCACTGGCGTGATGTAAATATGAAGTTAGATTTAGCTGTTTTTTTGTCCTGATAGTTTTAAAAAGAACCATCAGTCATGGAGCAACAATCCCATATTTCCTATTAGAAATGCAATACTACTACGCTCATTATGATTTAAAACTGGAAAATGTACACACACCCATTTATACTGTTGATTTTTATGATGGCCCTTTTGTTCCGCATTGTTAGAGTCTGAATACAAATGCTTGCACGTCAGGTCAAGTGTCTCTGGTGTATTAATATAATAACACCATGAACACGTTGCATTAGGACACGCATTTCAAAACCATAGTACCACCCACTGAGAATTGCATTCATCAATCACCTTTGTACTTGGTCTGCTCTCATAAAGGCATATTGACTCATAACCGGAAGATTCCTGTAAAGAGCAGAGTGCTGAAGTCAGCTGCTGGGCTTCTCAGAAAGGAAGTTGCAGAAGCCCAGTCAGTGTTCTAATCGCTAAGCAGGCATCCTGCCTTTCTAGTGACTGATTGATGGCATTGCCATTAGTACACTATGCAAACAACACTGCCTCGGTCCATTGATGACTTACTTTCTCAGCACTAACCACACCATCAAATACAGTACTGTACAAAACCATGACATGTTAAGGGAATAAGGGGGGCTTGGGCAGGGGACATAGTGGCTAGAAGGGATGATGGAGGGAGCCTGGTGATGTAACTGCAGCCAAAGGAGAGAATGTGCTCGAGAGGATGACCACAAAACAGATGAAACGATGAGAACGGCTCATGTCCAGGAGTGAGACGGATTGTGGTCTCACAGACAGTGGGGGATGCCACAAACTCTTTGGTTACTATGTCAATACTATCGTCCAGGGGGACATATACGAATCTCTCACATTCACCATACAGTATATATGAACAAATGTGTCCATGTTATCCATTGAAAGTTTTCTGTTACATACATTCTTAACAACTTGATTAAAAATGACAAACCAAAAGATCTGTCTGTATGCGTCATACATAGGAAGTGCTGCATACCACACTTGCGTACAGAATAGCCGGATGAGTGATAGAGCGTGCTCTATACATTATGTTGAGTATCATAAACGAGCATTTACATGTCCAAAGTTACAATAAGTACTGCAAATATATACTATATAAAAACTGAACTGCATAACAATCTTGGGTTAAGCAATATATGGAATGTATATGGAATGCCACGTCATGTTATTATTTAAAATGTATGGAACCGGGCACAATTAGATTCTTGGTCATGGCCAACACCAGGGGCGTGCGATATCTAAATTAGTCCTGCCTCACTCCCCATCTGCTGTTCACCAACTCGCAATGACCGGCATGGTAACGTATGGTCATAAAACTATACTGACATGGCATGAGGAGGCTCTTAATAATACAATAAGCTCTTTGTGGATTTACAAGGAGCGTGGTTTTATTGTTTACTGTAAAAAAAAACTGTCAATTCAATGTACGTCATTTCGGTAGAACTCATTAATTCACGTAATGCGGGAAAAATGACATCTGCTTTATACAGCTTACTACAAACATCAAACTTGATGTAAAGTTAACTTTTTGCAAGGTTGCTTAAGTACCAGTGCACAGTACTCTAGACAGGCCTCTCCATACTGTAAGTTTGAAGACAACATATGCTTGTAATATAAAAAAAAAATCCAAGCATGACTTAGCAAGCACAGACACAGTATAAGTCTTAGATTAAATGTATTTTTGTGAATATTGATTATAAAGTTCATTAGTATGTATTCAGGTGATTCAATAGTACTGTAATGGGCATAACTGTAAAGGATACATGAGACGTGCTAAAATTGGCTTGTGTGTATCACACCAACATTGTGTCATAACATTTAGCCCAAATGATGATTGCCAAATATTGAAATTATCAGGTTCTGTCCCATGCTGTCATTCTTTTACCATGGAATCGTGGTCACGTGTGATTTAAATTAAATGCATTGAACATGCAAACCCTCTTTCTAAAGTGCATCTCACCGCAGAACGTGTAGCGCAAGGGAGCTCCTCCTGCCTGTGCTTCCACCGACGCCACAAGATCCTTCCCTCGCTTACACAAGCTATCAGCCCAACCCACAACCTCCCACAAACACCCACAGCCCAACCCATGACATTTTACAGACAATGAAACCCTGCCCAACCCACGACCTACGTACAATTCCTGACTGTACACCCAGGGCCAGCCCGCGTTGCAGCCTCCCATTAAGCAATCTCCAACTGATACCACCAAGTCACCTTGTATAGCCTCTGAACAATTTAACCCAATCAACAGCACGACCTCACCCAAACAAGCCGCCAATCTTTCCGACCACTTAACTCCTCCGAATATCTGCCGTACCCCACCTGCTCTGAACATCTTCAAGCCCATTCGATGCGACTTCCTCGATCCGAGCAACTGGCACGCACAGCCCCCGAGACAATCCGAAGGACACCAAATCTGCCTCCTTGCCAAACAACCCCCTGGTCCAATCCGACCGCCACCTCCTCCAAACAACCCCAACCCAGCCCCACGTGTGAAGTGTGATCCACACGGTCGCATGGCTCCTCCCTACGCTCACCTGGGGGCTCCACCTGTCGGTACGGAAGCGTCAACTTTTCACACAAACCCTGGCCCGACCCGTGCCCTTTGTCAACTCTACGTGCGGTGGCTGGCACTGCAAGTTCTGTGTTTCGTACGTGGCCGTTCAATATTGGCGTGCAAGGCGCAGCACGTTCGCTGAGCACGAGGCCAGCGGCGCCACCTTGGAGTCGGGTGAATGAAAATGGAAATGCGGTGCCCCGTTGAGAGGGCGACAGGTGCGTCACTGACACCCACACGCTAGTGCCGAGGGGCCTGGGGACACCGGTCACTTAAAGAGAGAATGTGGGAGGGCAGGGTGTTGAAAGTTCAGACTGACCACTTACGTTCGGTGCGCTAGAACAGATCATCAATGTACCCTTACCCATAACTCAATGGGAGGGTAGGGGGGGGGGTAATGGCAAGCTTGGGCTTTGTTTGGACATCCGTACAGTGTGCTGCTAAAGGCGCTGCCCTGTAATGCCTTGCTCACGCCAATGCTGGCAGAAGGGTCTCCACTCGTGAGTGTTTTTTGCCTCCTCGTACAGACTTGTATTTCGAAACAAAATGTGTTTTTTTGTGTGAATAATTCAGTCGATATGTGTCCACCACCTAAGCAATTGTAGCTGTGATTTTCAGACTAGAATACAGACCATATGTAACATACAACTCATCACGCCAAAAACTGTGATCAATACACCCAGGTACTCTGAAGGTCCATTTTGGTGGATTTCAACGGTTTCTGAGACCCATCGGAAACCTTATAACCCATCAGTTACCCTAATGGATGTAACCCTGTCATACACATACAACAGACACAACGTACTTGCGCCATCTATTGATAGAAGTTATGTTGTGAATGAATGAGTTCGGGGTTTTTTTTGTATTTGCCATCAGCCGTAACGAAAATTTTTGAATGCAAATGTTAGTGTTCTGATTTGTCTCGAGATCCACAAAATCTCTCGCGATCCACCCGTGAATTGCGATCCACGTATTGGCCGCCACTGCACTAGACAGGGTGTGCCACAAGATTAAAAAACCATCAAGCCAGAAATAACAGGAATGGTATTCAAGGAATGTTGATTGCTGTAAGCTTAAGCCAGAAGATACAAGATATAAGAATAGGTTTTTTCCACTTTTTTCTGGCAACAAAACTGAAACCTTTTTACGAGGAATCATCTCTGCATTAACCACAATGCTTGTGGTCAGAATGCAAACAAAAAACATATTCTGATAATAAATGCATTGTCCTTGAAACTGATTGCTCCACACCAGAGACAAAAGCGTCCTCTGGTCTAACACCGTTTGAGACGAGGCTCAAAAGAAAGCTGTCTCTGGTGTGGACCAATCTATTTCAAGGACAATGCATATGTTATCAGAGTATGTTTTTTGTTTGCATTTTGACCACAAGTATTGTGGTTAATGCAGAAAAGATTCCTTATCAAAGGTTTCAGTTTTGTTGCCAGAAAAAAGGGGAAAAACCTACTCTTATATTTTGGTACTGGCAAAGGAGGTCCCATGATGAAGATACAGGATATTTACTAAATCGCCAATATGTGTAATAACAGTGCAGCAAAAATGTTCTTGTAAATACTTTTGAATGTATTTTTACATTCTCACAAGGAGACATCTGTCGTAACACAAGACAAAATACCACAAAACAGAATACAAGAACATTTGAAACGGTAATTAAATGTCAGTGAATTACATACCACTATTGCACTATTTGACTGTAATTTACAAATAATGGGCCCTCGTGCAAAGCAATGAAATGGGTGCTTCCCCTTTGTTACATTCTCTCCATCCTTGTAGCCCGGTGCGTGGACCCCGGTGCAGTTGCACCGCCTGCACACTTAACACTTGCCATGCGACTGTTCGACAGCTGTGGACACACAGAGCTTGGTTTGCGTTACTTCTTTCGTATGGCATTCGAAAAACATCGGACGAATTTATAATTGTGTGTTGAGCTTGGAAATCCATTCGATGGCATCTGGAAGATGGATTAAATTCGTACCACCTTGGGCAATGGTCGGTGATGTGCGTGATGGATTGCACGCCTCGATTAAGCAAATCCATCATTCCCCACTTACGTAGGAGCCTACCGCACCTTCTGTGCGTACGGGAGTTCTAACACGACGAAGTGCAGTCCAGTGTTTGCGAGATAAGGAGAAGCCAAGTGAAGCATCTTGCTGCGTCTTAATGTATTGCATTGTTGCGCTGAGAATGTGGTCGCGACGCTGCTGGGGTTGGTGGTGATGATGGTAGAGTGGTACCGATCGTGGTGGTAATAATTGTGTTGCGTGGTGGTGGTGATGATGGTCGTGATAATCGTGGTAGTAATGATCGTGCTGCTGCTGGTATTGATGATGATGAGGATGGTGGTGGTGTTGATGGTAGCGGTGATAATGTTCGTGGTGGTGGTGACGCTGGTTGTGGTGGTGATCTTGCTGATGTTAATGATGAGGATGGTGGTGGTGTTGCTTGCAGTGGTGATGATGGTCGTGGTGGTGATGCTGCTGGTGTTGGTGACGATGGGTGTGGTGGTGATCTTGCTGATGTTAATGATGAGGGTGGTGGTGGTGATGTTGCTTGCAGTGGTGATGATGGTCGTGGTGGTGATGCTGCTGGTGCTGCTGGTGATGGTGACGATGGGTGTGGTGGTGATCTTGCTGATGTTAATGATGAGGGTGGTGGTGATGATGGTCGTGGTGGTGATGCTGCTGCTGCTGGTGACGATGGGTGTGCTCGTGACCGTACCGGTGGCGGGGGACTTTCTCGCCGTGTCCGCGAGGGGTCGCTGCGCGTCTTCACCGACAGCGCCACCAGGGGGCATCGCGGTGGAGGCGGGTTCTAAGCTCGCCGGGTTCGGCATTCCGGTCATGACGGCTGCTGTGCGACAAACGCAGCGCCAAGCCAAGGGCGGATTCGCAGGCGGTGCCAGTCACAGCCCAGGCAAGCAACAGCGACGACCGCACGTGTTCCGGCAAGGCACGCGAGCGCACGCAACGTCTCCTGGACATGAGCGCCATCGGTGAGCCCTCCTTCTTGGTTTGAGTTCGTGAACGTAACGCGGCTTTGTTCAGAAACGTTGCGTGCGACGATGTGGGTTTTTTTTAGTGGCACGAGTTTGGAGAATGGATGATGGTACTCTGAGCAATCTCCTCCGCATTGCATATTTCGCACACGGCGGCAGTAATTGCCACCGGCTCTGCGTGAGATGACTTCCGACTGGTGTTTCGCCTTGTACCAGTGAGACTTTGTTTTTTTTTTGGTATGCTGTGTTAATCCAGCAGTCCGTGTGGCTTCGTCTCGCCTCCTTTTTGGTACGGCAAAGATGGGTAGGAAAAAAAAACCCCGACAATTTTGAATGCTAAGGAGGTTTTTCAACCAATCCTACCCAGTGGATTGACTGGCTGATGATGATGGCGATTGTACCGTGAGCGTGTAGTGTATTGTTGGTGTGGATTAAGTCTGAGAACGTGGGATGTTAATGATTAAAAACATTGGACGCGAATAGAACGTCTCTTAACTGCGGTGATGTGGGGGGGACGAACAACGCGGATCCTATTATCCGCGAATTTGCTCCATTTATCCGCAAACATAAACCACGGATAATGGGATGAATTTTTTATATTCAACTTATCGGCGAAAACATTTACGAACGATAGCCGCTTCGCAATTCAGGATGAAAAAAACGGTAGTTAATTACGGACAATATGAAGAATATATCCGCGGATAATTGGAGTTTTCTCAGATCCCTACAGCTCTCCTTGATAAAATGGTTTGCGGCGAAAGAGGGTCACGGATAAGAAGAGTTATACTGTTAGTGATGTGCGTTTGAAAAATCTGCACCGTATATGGTTTCCTGTGTTGTCTGCACATAGATACACTATTTATTCAGAGTAAACATCGTTTGGAGTCCTTTTCTCAGTTGCAGGCTGTCACGCAACATTCTCTGTTCTCGATGAGCTCATCCTTATTTGTCTGGCCAACATGTAACCTAATGCCTTATTTGTGCTGTGAAACAGAGGAGTGCTGTTAAACAGGATAAACAACATGAACAGCATCACCATATGATAATTGGTTTTATACCCTTTTATCTGGCAACAAAACTGACACCTTTTTTTACAAGGAGTCATGTTTACATTGACCACCAATACCTGCGGTCGGAACGCAAACAAAAAAACAACAACTCTGATAATGTATGTGGCACTGTCCTTGAAATTTATTGGTCCACACCCGAGACAGCTTTCTTTAGAGCCTCGTCTCACATGGTGTTGGACCAGATGACGCCAAAAGGCGCACAACTCAAAGACAAATGCACCATCAGAGTATGAGAGCTCGGGGTAAGCATTTACACCATTGGAAACCTCATTTGCCAGTAACAAAATATGATAATTGTTTTTTACCCTTTTATCTGGCAACAAAACTGACACCTTTTTTTTACAAGGAGTCATGTTTACATTGACCAC